AGTGAAAGGCAAAGAGAAAAGAGAGAGCAAGGGGCAGGCAGAGATCTTCCTCTGCAGGTTCACTTCACAAATGGCTGGGCCAGGCTGAAGCCAGGTGCCCAGAGCACCATCAGGGTCTCCCAAATGGGTGGCGGGGGCCCAAGTTCTTGGCCCATCTTCTGCTTTCCTAGGTGTGTTATCAAGGAACTGGATCACATAGGCTGGAGTCGTGAATGTGGACTTAACCTGCTGTGTCAGAACACCAGCCCCAGCCAGAGCGTCTGGAGTATGTCATGGGTCACTAGAGAGAGTTCGTCCAGCCTATGGCCGGTTACTGTGCTGTCAACTTTTATCATACTTGTTGCTTTGAGCTGGAAACTTGATCAGACTTGATTAGCGTTTCTCTGATAATAGTAGCCAGGGACATAAAAATGTTACCATTTGTTGAATACCTGCTCTGTAGGAATGCATGCTGTTCATGTGTTTTGTTCTTTTCTTTGACTCCAAACCATTGTGGTTTGTGTTTTTATTATTTCCACCTTACAGAAGAGGGTGAGTAGGGGCTGGTGATGTAGTGTAGTAGGTTAAACTTCCGCCCGTGGTGCTGGCATCCCATATGGGTGCATGTTCAAGTCCTGGCTGCTCCACTTCTGATCCAGCCTCCTGCCTATGGCCTGGGAAAGCAACAGAGAATGGTCCATGTGGGAGGCCCGGGGGAAGTGCCTGGCTTTGGATTAGCCCAGCTGTGGCCAGTGTGGCCATTTGGGGAGCGAACCAGCAGATGGAAGACCTCTCTCTCTCTTTCCCTCTCTGTGTAACTCTGTCTTTCAAATAAATAAATAAATCTTAAAAAAAAAAAAAAAAAGAGGGCAGGAATGAATAAATTTCCTAGGGACACTTAACTAAGAGATTGTGAATGTGAATTTAGGGCTGCCTATAGGCAGAGGTGAAGCTCTTCCTAACCATTACATTCTGATAGTACTTAGCTTGTACTAAAAGGCACAATCTTAACACTGAAACAAAACAAGACAGTGAAGCTGTATTAATCAGAAGAAGCTAAACTGCATTACTGTTTAGATCCCACACGTTTAATAGGCTTCATTGTAATACATTTCTCATTGGCCTAAGAGCTCAAGGCAGGCATTCTGGACTGGGGGCAGCTCGACTCCCCTCTGTGATCTGGGGAGCCAGGCTTCTTGTCCTGTGTCTCACCATCCCAGAGCCTCCTGGAAGAGGGAAGAGAACGTGATAGGAGGCATGACCATCGCCTTCAAGGCCTTGCTCTGGAGTGGGCATTCACTGCTGCCATTCCCGTTCTGTTGGCTAGGATGTAGTCTGATGTGCCCCCAGCTCCAGCAGGCCGGGCGAGCCAGTCCTGCCCTTGGGCTCAGGCGAAGAAGGGGAGGGTGGCTGGGACAGAACTGAGGAGAAAAAGGATTAGGTAGAGGATTGGAAGTGAAAGCCCTAGTCGAGGCCTCAGGATTCTTGTGATGTTTCCTCCAGTTGATCCCCACACTGCGGCTTCTCTGGGGGAGAGTGGTGAGGACTGCTTACTAATAGCTCGCTAGATGATGATTGGGAATTCCTGATACTTAGTATTCATCAGTGAAAGTAGGATTCCCGTCACTGAAGGCTCTCGTTGAGCCATCGGCTAAGGCGTCGCTAGCAGTCGGGCTGGTGGCGCTAGAGATGCATCTTGAGGCTCCTGCATGTGGAGGACTGGAATTCTCCTGAATGTCAGCAAGGCTCCTTGGTGGAAAGCTCGTTGTCGGTGTTTCTTCAGCTGGTCCCGATTCTGGCTGCCGAGTATTTGTTGTTTGTTTATATTAATAATATTTGGGTGCTGTTTTACTTGTTTTTGATACATGTAATTTTGCCTTAGGCCAGAAGAATCTGTGATACATCATTTTATCTTGAATTTTCTATTTTTTTAAAGGTTATTTATTGGAAAGGCAGGATTAGCCATTTGCTGTTTCACTCCTCCAATGGCTGCCACAGCCAGGGTTGGAACTCCATCCGGGTCTCCCCGTGGGTACAGGGGTCATCTGCTGCTGCCTTCTCAGGTGCAGTAGCAGGGAGCTTGATCGAAAGTGGGGAAACCATGAAACCCCAAATGGGGTGCTGGCATTGCTGCTGGTGGCTTAATTTGCCGTACCACAGCGCTGGCCCTAGTTATCTTGAATTTTCTTAGTTTATCTTCAGTAAGAATTGTATGGCAGGCAGTTCAAAATTAAGGTTGGGGCAGGCATTTGGCACAGCCATTAAGATGACACCTGCAATGCTACTTATCCCATATCAGAGTGCCTCGGTTCAAGTTCTAGTTCCATTCCTGATTGCAGCCTCCCGCTAATGCACACCCTGGGAGATAGCAGGTAATGGCTCAAGTACTTGGGTCCTTGCCACTGATATTGGCAGTCTGGATTGAATTCCCAGTCCCTGGTTTGGCCTGGCCCAGGCCTGGCTGTTGCCAGCCTTCACGGAGTGAATCAACAGATGGGAGATCTCTCTTTTTCTCTGTGTCTCTCTGCCTTCCAAATAATAAATGAATGAATGAATAGAATAAAAGTGTTTAACAACCAACAAAATTAAGTTTGTATTTAGTAGGAAAAACAGCAACAAAATTAAGTTTGTATTTAATAGGAAAAACAGAATTTGGGTATTTCTAAAGATTCCTTTTTCTCTAGCATGCCGGAATTTCTTTTTTTTTTTTTTTTTGACAGGCAGAGTTAGAGAGACAGAGAGAAAGGTCTTCCTTCTGTTGGTTTACCCCCCAAATGGCCGCTATGGCCATTGCGCTGCATCGATCCAAAGCCAGGAGCCAGGTGCTTCCTCCTGGTCTCCCATGTGGGTGCAGGGCCCAAGCACTTGGGCCATCCTCCATTGCACTCCCGGGCCACATCAGAGAGCTGGACTGGAAGAGGAGCAACCGGGACAGAATCCGGCGCCATGACCAGGACTAAAACCTGGGGTGCTGGCACCACAGGCAGAGGATTAGTCTAGTGAGTTGTGGCGCCAGCTCCTTTTTTCTCTAGTTCTAAGCTCTATGAGATGGCAAATTAACTTTTGTGCTTCCTGTGTGCTTACCAAAGTAATTTCATTTGATTTTCTTAATTTTTAAAGTGCAAGTCTTAGGACCATTAGGAGGCTTGAAAGAACATGTGTGTATAGGTACCTGGTGCGGTATCTTGTATGTAGTGAGCGCTGAATAAGGGAGAATTAAAGAGGAGGGGGAAATTCTTGGTCATTTTCTCTTCAGAGAGTGCTTTTGCCCTAATAGATCCTTTTTTCCCAAGATTCTCCGCATTTTCTTTTTATTTTGTGTATTTTCTTTGCTGTTAGGGCTTCGTCCTAGTGTTTGCTGCACACCGTAGTTCATTTATTTTTCTGTTTAGCTTATGTTACTTTTCATAAAGCCTCCCTTAGGTTCTTCATTTTGACTTAATATTTTTAAACTCTAGAATTCTATTAAAATAGTTTTAAGTTCTTAGCTATACTTCTCAATCTTTTGGTTCCTTTACCATGATAAAGTCTTGTCCAGGCGGGCGCTGCGGCTCACTAGGCTAATCCTCCGCCTGTGGCACCGGCACTCCCGGTTCTAGTCCCAGTCGGGGCGCCGGATTCTGTCCTGGTTGCTCCTCTTCCAGTCCAGCTCTCTGCTGTGGCCCAGGAAGGCAGTGGAGGATGGCCCAAGTGCTTGGGCCCTGCACCCGCATGGGAAACCAGGAGAAGCACCTGGCTCCTGGCTTCAGATCAGCACAGTGCGCTGGTCGCGGTGGCCATTGGAGGGTGAACCAACGAAAGGAAGACCTTTCTCTCTGTCTCTCTCCCTCTCACTGTCCATTATGCTTGTCAAAAAAAAAAAAAAAAAAAAAGTCTTGTTCAGTGACCTTTGTTGTTTGGATCTTGTGCATGTTTCTGTTACCTGTGGTTTCTCTTCATTCTCATGCACGTTAGCTTGTCTCCTGATCCTCGGCTTCAGCTCCACTCAGGGCTCCTGGCGCACTGTTGTCTTTAGGGAGTATTCTTTAAGCGGGGGTTTTATCTGACCCTTTTCCTTGGTGTGCTGTGTGCTAACGACAGAGTTGGTGTCTGGTGTCTCTGCGTTGTCCAGGTGTTGTCAGCAGAAGGCTTTGTCCCACCTGCTCATCTGCTGTCTTGGAAGTGGGAGTCTTGGCTTCTGCTTTTTAGTTAAAGTGTCCTGGGGTCAGACTGTGGTTTTGGGGGAGATGATAGCAGCTCTTCTGGCTGAGATGGGTGCCATAGAAAGTTCCACCTAATTACAGTCTGACAATGTGCTCCCCACTAACCTCTTTGTATTTCGCCTAGTCCACTCAGTCCAGCTGTCAGCTTCTGTCGATTTTGCATCTAGTATGTCCTTACTTCTCCCCTGTTACAGTTCAGGCCAGTATCAGCTCTTTCTAGATGATTCTAACGGCCCCGTACTCTAGGCTAACCCCTCTAGGATCTGTAATAGTTCCATACTGAATGTATCTGTGCTTTGCATATGATGAATTAGTGACTCCCATTATTGATTAGACAAAGCCCATTTCCTTGGTAACCAGGGGTCCAAGTTAGATACCAGCTCATGCTTCTTACACGGAGGTAATGCTCCAGCCACACCTGACCCCTTGTATTTCTCTGGACTTGCTGGCTGTTTGTTCATCAACATTTTGTAGGGAAGTACTGTTTTCTCTACTTAGAGCACCGTCCATTGTCAAAAGGCCACACGCTTTGTGAATGCTTTCCTGTTCCTTTCATGTAAGAGGACGTTGTACGCTGCTGCCCTTCGTTTGCTTGGATGTTGCTGGTGCTAGGTTCTGAGCTGCTTACAGCAAGGATTTGTTCTTTCTAAAGTCTGGCTTGTACCTCTTGGTTGAGGCTGTCACATGACCCCTTTGGGTCCTGAGAACTTGGCCGTGGTCTGGGAAGCCAGCGTGAGGTGTGATCAAGAGAAAATGTCAACTGTCCATAGTGTATTTCTCTTTGCTATCGTAACCATGGTTTTTGTTCTAATTTTTTAGCAAGTTTGTCCACGATGAAAGTGACCTTATCAGCCCTGGATACCTCGGAGAGTTCTTTTACACCTTTGGTAGTCATAGAACTTGCTCAGGATGTCAAAGAAGAAACCAAAGAATGGCTGAAGAACAGAATCATTTCTAAAAAGAAGGATGGAGGTGAGTGAAATCGGTGGTACCCAGTGGGTGACCGTGTGTCGCTGTCCCTCAGTCTGTGGGTACTCAGATGCTCATGCTCTGTGTCTAAGACGGCTTCCTATCTTCGAGTAACCTCTGAGCATTCTCCCATATACTCTCAATCATCTTACTTAGATTATTGGATACACTATGAAAGCTGTGCAGATGGTTGTCCTGCATGTCGTGTAGGGAATAATGAAAAGGAGAAAGCTGGTACATGTTCACTGCACGTGCAGTCATTAGAGGCCCAACTACATTTTCCCATCCAAGGTTGGTTACATGCATGGATGTAGAGCACCAACTATTTCAAATACGATTTACAATTCTTATTATGTATCTATATATTTTTAGTAACGTTCTTTGCTCTGCCCTTTATTATCTTCCTTGGCCTCAGAACTAGATCTTAACTCAACATTAGATTGTAAACCTCTATCAGACTCGAGTGGCAGCGTGAGTGGTTTTTTTCACAGCTTTCAACGCACGGCCCAGCACAGTGCTGGGTGCACAGTAGGGGCCTAATAAATATCTGTCACATGAACGAGCAAGTATCTATTGATCGTGCTTCATGTGTCAAGTTTATGGTCCGAGGAAGAGGTAGATGCCGGTGGTCTCTGCCTGCAAAGATTTCGTGGTCGGGATGGAGACACTGATGCCAGGTTGGAGGAATTCAGGCTAGAAGCAAGTGTTAGTGAGAGAGCTGTCACAAAGCAATACCCAGTGCACACAAGGGAATCACTTACATACTTAGTGTAATAGTAAGTGGAAGGGCAGGGTGACACATTGGCAGGGATTTTTGGAGTGGCAAGGGTCTATGCCAAAGCTCAGCCCTCTCTTGAAGAGGCTAAATCTTTTTTTTTTTTTTAATCTATATTCTTTCTGTTGATCTTTTTTTTTTTTTTAGGATTTTATTATTTATTGATTTGACAGGTAGAGTTATAGAGAGAGAGAGGGAGAGACGGAGAGAAAGGTCTTCCTTCTGCTGGTTCACTCCCCAAATGGCCGCAACGGCAGGAGCTGTGCCAATCCGAAGCCAGGAGCCAGGTGCTTCCTCCTGGTCTCCCATGCGGGTGCAGGGGCCCAAGCACCTGGGCCATCCTCCACTGCCCTCCTGGGCCACAGCAGAGAGCTGGATTGGAAGAGGAGCAGCCGTGACTAGAACCAGCGCCCATATGGGATGCTGGCGCCGCAGGTGGAGGATTAACCTACTGTACCATGGCGCTGACCTCAGGGGGCTAGGTCTTAAAAAAAAAAAAAAGGGTGATTGTAGATGGTAGTGCTTGCTTTCTTGCTTGCTTGCTTTTTCTTTTTCTTTCTTTTTTTTTTTTTTTTTTGGACAGGCAGATTTAGACAGAGAGAGAGACAGAGAGAAAGGTCTTCCTTTTCCGTTGGTTCACCCCCTAGATGGCCTCTACGGCCGGCGTGCTGTGGCTGGCGTGCTGCGGCTGGCATGCTGTGCCGATCCAAAGCCAGGAGCTAGGTGCCTCTTCTTGGTCTCCCATGCGGATGCAGGGCCCAAGGACTTGGGCCATCCTCCACTGCCTTCCCAGGCCACAGCAGAGAGCTGGACTGGAAGAGGGGCAACCGGGACAGAATCCAGAGCCCCAGCCGTACTAGAACCCGGGGTGCCAGCGCCACAGGCGGAGGATTAGCCAAGTGAGCTGTGGTGTCGGTTGGTAGTGAATCAAAGTGGAATTTTTACTTTTTTTCAATCAATGGAACCAAAAGGAAACTTAAAAATAGGAGATTTTGCTTGCTGAAATTTGAGGCATTTTACTGGACTGGGTCTCTTCTCTAGAATGTTTTCTAGAATGTTTCTGAAATGTGTAGTATTTTAGCACAAGAGACTCCATTATATTCCTAGCCTTCTTTTTTGCATTTATAGACATAGGAGAATGAAAAGGTGTGGGGAAGGAGCATCTTTCTCCATGGCTTAGATGAGTAGAAAACAACTTTGCAAAAAGGTGTTCTTGGTTTTCCAGGTAAAGGTGGTAGATTTAGTACTCGTGTTTTCTTCCAGACTATTATTCAAATGATAATAAAAATAACTTAAAGAAATAGATAAAAAATGTAAGTCCACACTGGCAAAGAAGAAAAATTATAATATCAACAAAAATTGGTAGGCTAGAAAGCAGGTGGGTGAGTAGTAATTAACTTCTCAGATTTCAGAAAGCCCTAACTTTGGCTGGCAAGGGCAAAATTTAAGGTCTAATCTGGTTTACACTGCAGAATAATCCAGAAAACTGGGGAACCAGGGACATGGAGGTGGGGGGTGGGGGGAGTTTGGAGATGGAGATAAAAATAATCCCAAGAAGAAGAGAGGGTGGACTAAGGTCTGTTTAAGAAATCATTAGATCTTTGGATTCTTTCATATTCTGCCAGCACTGAGGGAGATTCTCTAGCGCAGGGCAGGTGTGTGTTTTGGCCTGGGGGCTCTTTGCACACTTGGGGCCAGAGAGTGTGTACTGAAAACAAGGTACGAACTGAATTCCATTCCATTTTCCTCCAGCCCACCAGTCCCATACCTAAATCAGTTTCCAAAATATTAGTAGGCAGATTCAAATCATGTAGGAAGCATGTGGAACAGTATTTCTCTGGAGAATATGACCAGCTTAAAACAAAATAACCAAAGCTGCAGACATCAGAGGTTGCCAATGGAAAACTACTTGATCAGACTTTATCTTGCATTAAAGGTGTCACTAATGATTTCCATCTAAGCCCTGGGACTTCCCTTTTAGAGCATCGTTCTTAGACATGAGCATACAACCAAAGGCCACCAGCTGTCGGAGAAAAATCCCTAACATGAATCAGAAAGCTAAGACTAAAGCAACAGATGAAGCGAAAGAAGAAAACCAAAGAGTATACGTCTTGGTTTTCTGAGTTATGGAAAGCTATGACATCTATAAATCAAGAATAGGATATTATTGGGGGCGGGTGCCTGATGCCGACATCCCACATGAGAATGCCTGGGTTTGAGTCCTGGCTCTGCTGTCCTTTCCCGCTTCCTGCTAATGTGCACCATTGGAGGCAGGAGCTGATGGGTCAAGTGCTTGGGTCCCTGCCACCCATGTGGGAGACCTGGGCGGAGTTCCTGGCTCCTGGCTTTGGCTTGGCCCAGCTCTGCCTGTTGCAGGCATTTGGGGAGTGAACTAGTGGATCAAAAATTTCTCCCTCTCTTTCTCTCTTTCAAATAAGTAATAATAAGTACTGTTTACAAAACCCTCCAAGACAGAAGAAAGAAGAGCAGAAAGGTCAAGAATTGAGAAACAAGAGCAGGAAAAACAAAGGACTGGTCCGGAAGGTACACAGCTGGATGAAGGAGGTGTGGAGGGGAACAGAAGAGAGGGGAACAGAGCACTGCAGAGAACACCTGAGAATGGTGCCTGGGGTTTGCAGATTGAGCAGGATCCAGCTCAGTGAATGCATGTGGCTCCTTGTTGACAGAACCCTGGGGACAGAAGAGCTTGAATCAACTAACAGGACAAAGAAAAGAGGTCAGTTATAAAGGAACAAACTTTCCTAACAGAAACATTGGAAGCTGGAAAGCAATGGCATAGCTTTGTTTCTGGCGCAAAGATTTCAGATCTGGAGTTCTCTGCGCCCCCCCACTCCCCCAGCTGTCAACAGGTATGAGGGCAGAGTGAAGGAGTTCTCTAAGGAGGTGATGCTGGTGGGGGCACCTTTCATGTCTGTATCGAGGGCCACAGACAGCTGGCCAAGAGCTCAGGGAGTTGCTACAAGTGATAAAGCAAGGCAGTTAGCAACTTCTGGGAAAATGGAAAATGAAGCAAAAAATTCATAGCTTAGCCAGAAGCAGTATTTGCAGTCATAATGCAAGTTCTGATCCTTGCTGACACAGAAAGGCTGATTTAACTTGCTGTAAGAATGGGGTGATGGGAATGGCGGCCAGAAATGGTGAAGGGGGCCATGTAGGTCTTCCTCTCCCAAGGCTTACGGCTTAAGGATGAAAAAAATGCTCATGGCTCTGTCAGCGTGTTGCCTGGGGACGTGAAATACCAGAGGAATCACATGAACAAATTGGGAAGTCATAGCCCCTTATTAAAGTATCTTCAGGTGAGTGAGAAGATACTGAAAGTGTTGTGTTTGTTTTAAAGATTTATTTTTTTGACAGGCAGAGATAGGCAGAGAGACAGAAAAGAGAAAGGTCTTCCATCACTGGTTCACTCCCCAGATGGCCACAACGGCCGGAGCTGCGCCAGTCTGAAGCCAGGAGCTTCTTTCAGGTCTCCCATGTGGGTGCAGAGGCCCAAGCATTTGGGCCATCTTGTACTGCGTTCCCAGGCACATTAGCAGGGAGCTGAATCAGAAATGGGGCAGCCTGGACTCGAACCAGTGCCCAGATAGGATGCTGGCATCTTTGTGCTCACATTCACTGTCTGTTTGAGTCTAACAAGCAAGAGATGCCAAGATAGAATTTGATGCCCAGGAGGTACACAGGGGAACCTTTGTCATGAGATCATGGTGAGTTAGGCACAGAGTGCCTTCCGGCTTGCTTAGAAGGTCGGGATCACTGTTGTCCTGTGAAGGACACCCATGTTGCATGGCAATGGCCTTGTTCCGGGGGAACCTCCATCCATGCTCAGCCAATGCCAGAAGCTTGGCCTGGGTTTGAGGGTTGGCACCCAGCGGCATGGCAGGAGGCGCCTGTAGCCAACCTTGCTCCTCAGAGATTTTGAAAGGAGAGCTGAGCAGAGCAGGGCACCTTCTTGGTCACTGACTCACCACCCTATTTGTTGATCGAATTTTTCATCTGCACAGTAGGAAGAATGAAAAATAGCATGTTGGTGTAGTTTTATTTTCTGTAAATTGAATACACTTGTTATTAAAACCTTTAGTACCTCAAATGTGAATTACCCTGCCAAAGGTATCGTAATACATTAAGCTTAATACATTGATCCATTAGGTAAGTGAAATATTAACTCTGCTCATTATGCTGTTACCATCTGTCTTACTCCATTTTCTGTTCTTTTACAAAATACCTGAGTTGTGTACTTTATAAAGGAAAGAGATTTATGTACTCACAGTTGAGGAGATCCATGAGCATGCTTCCAGCATCTGTCTAGCTGTGGTGAGGGCCTGTGGCTACTTTTTTTTTTTTTTTCAGATTTATTTATTTATTTGAGAGGCAGAGTTACAGACAGAAGGGGAGACAGAGAGGGCTTCTGTCTGCTGATTCACTCCCCAAAAGGCCACAATGGCTAGAGCTGGGCCTATCCGAAACCAGGAGCCGGAAGCTGCTTCCTGGTCTCCCACATGATGCAGGGACTCAAGGACTTGGGCCATCTTCTAGTGCTTTCCCAGGCCATAGCTGAGAGCTGCATCACAGGTGGAGCATCTGGGACACAGACCGGCGCCCACGTGAGATGCCGGCACTGCTGGCAGAGGATTAGCCTACCGTGGTGTGGCTAGTTTTAACCCACATGGGGATGGCATCCTGGTGGCAGTGTGTGTGAGAGGGAGAGTTCATGTATTGAGACTGGAGGCCAGAGAGACGTGAGAGGCCAGACTCTTCTTAGGATACTCAACCTGCTCAGGGGCTAATTGGGGTTCTGCAAGACCTAAATTAATGCTTTGCAGGGGTAGCTCCCACCTAGGCCCCACCTCTTCCACTTTCCACCACCATAACACTCCCACACTGGGGACCAAGCTTCCAGTACGTGAACCCTTTCAGGGTGCATTCAAGCCATATTTCAGTAACAGCGCCATGTGATGAGTGTAATTCCTGTCTGTCATTTCTGGAGGGTAAATAGTAAAATAAATTTACATATTTGATATAGCTCAAAATAAATTATATGCAAATCTTTTTTTGTAATCTTTTAAGTAGTAATTGCATATACGATATCAAACCATGGCATCTACTTTGAATGACTTGGGAACTTATTTTAGAAAAATACCATTAAACTTAGCTAAAAAAGGCAGCATTTGGCCTGGTGGTTAAGACCAGCATCCCATATTGGAGTACCTGGGTTCCACTTCCAGCTCCCGACTCCAGCTTCCTGCTGATGGCCCACAGGGGGAGGCAATGGTGATGGCTCAAGTAATTGTGTCCTTGCCACCTTCGTGGGAGACCCAGATTTAGTTCTTATGTCCTGGTTTCATGTTGGGCTAGCTCCAGCTATTTTGGGCACTAAGTGTACCAGCAGATGGGAGCTCACTCCCTGTCTCATAAACAAGCAAACAAACAAACAAAACCTTGGGGCCTGCGCTGTGGCGCAGTGAGTTAACACCCTGGCCTGAAGCGCCGGCGTCCTGTATGGGCACCAGTTTGAGACCTAGCTGCTCTACCCCCGATCCAGCTCTTTGCTATGGTCTGGGAAAGCAGTAGAAGATGGCCCAAGTCCTTGAACCCCTGCACTCATGTGGGACACCTGGAGGAAGCTCCTGGCTCCTGGCTTCAGATTGGCACAGCTCCAGCTTTTGCTGCCAACTGGGGAGTGAACCATCAGATAGAAGACCTTTGTCTCTGTCTGTCTGTCTGTCTGTCTGTCTCTCTCTCTCTCTCTCTCTCTCTCTCTGTGTGTGTGTGTGTGTAACTCTGACTTCCAAATAAATAAATAAATCTTAAAAAAAAGGAAAACCTATTTTAATGTGGGAGATTATGGGATAAGTCATTGGAAAGTTCTGTTGCACTTTCCTCTTTGATAGTTAACATTCACAGCATTTGATGCAGTCCATGTAATGATATTACACGTGTGGCTTTTCTTGCAGAAATATTTTAATTAATTTGGTTAAATTTCGATCTGTTATGTTTATGTTAGCTAACTGAATCCTTTCGCAGTTTGATGCCCCGAGCTAATAAATGTTAGATTTGTGCATCCATTTCTCATTTGAGCAAATGGCAAGCCTGTTACTGCTGCATTTTCCAGTTGTTGCATTTATTTAAAAACCGCCATCCCCAATGTATACTTCCTTTTTGCTTGGATCCAGAACCTTAAATCTGTTTGGAAGGTACTCATTGTGGAAACTTTGGCCTCTAAGCTGGTGCTCCTCTTTGTGTTTTTGTAGGTGCTCAGCTGTTGTTTAGGCCCTTGTTAAATAAGTATGAGAAAGAAACGCTGGAAAACCAGAACTTGTATCTTGTGGGTGCCTCCAGGATTAGGCTGTTGCTGGGGGCAGAAGCCGTGGGGCTGGTGAAAGAGTGCAATGATGACGCCATGCGAGCCTTCACGTACGGAACGCGGCAGAACTTCAAAGGTTTCCATGGTAAGGCCCGCGGGTTTCTGTTTCTATCAGACTTCCTGTTGATACAGAAAGTCTATGTGAAATACGTCGGGGGTCAGCACACAGTTTGAACAAAGGACCCAGTAGTAAATGGGCTCTGGGGACCATGTGGTCTCCGTTGCATTGGCTCAGTACTGTCAGTAAGGAGCAGTCCTAGTGCATCAGTTAGTGGGTGAGGTTGTGTTTCCGTGATGCAGCTCGGGCCCGTGGGCCAGCAGGATGGTCGCGTGTCACAGTCTGCATCCCGCCAGGAAGCTCGCAGTTAATGATGGGCCAGAAGTGGCCATGATGAGCAGTAGGAGACAGCCCATCTGGGAGCAGCCCTGACGGCCAGCAGCTTTTATGCAAAGGGAATTGTGCTGGAAAAAGGAAGGATTAAAGTCATTAGGAAGTGTATCAGGGGCCCGCCCATCAAGGATGGCAGAAGAGTCACAGCCTTTGTTACTGGATTTGGGTGAAAAGGGCAAAGTGTTGGTGACTTGGTGGGGTCCACTTGAAGGTTGTCACAGGAGCCAGTGTGTCTGTTTTGGCCTTGTGAAAAGGCAGGAAGGAGAGACCAACATCTTAAGTTATTGTTGTTGTTGTTGTTATTATGTGCCCTAGGCATCAGGCAGCTCTGGCCACCAACACAGGTCAAGCTAGGATGACAATATCATACATTATGGGAAAAACACTTTAGTAATAAGTTTCGTATGCCACACACACACAAAATCCCAAACAAGCAAAACAGCACATGGCAGGCCACATTTGGCCCACGGGCTCTTCTTGCCACTGCTGGAGTAGCAGAACACACATTAGAAGGATGCATGTGGCTTAGATGAATTACTGCAGTCTGATTCTGACCATGATGAGTACTCATTGGCTTATAGGAGGATAGGAGGAAACACGCTAGAGGGGTCCTCTAGAAACCTCAGTGCCTGCCTGCTCTGCTCCGCTGGATGTGGCAGTGCCGTGAATTCCGTTCAGGCTCCGAGCGAGTTCCAGAAGAGAAGCTTTGCTTTTTCTTTTTATTTTTTTTAGCAAGAACCGAGGAAGGCAGGGCCGCTGTGGTGTCATACTGCCACTTCACTGGTGGTACACGAGGTCAAGCAGGGGTACGTTGGTTGAGTGTTTGTACCGTGCTGTGTCCTAACTGTGAAGAAGACTGAAGATTTGTGTGATGGGATGGCCTGATGTTTTTTTAATCCTTATAAAATATGTAAAGAGTTTTATGTTGTATTTAATTTACCAGTTTTATGATTACTTGCATTTATTGGCTATATCATGTGCATGATCTTCAGTGATGAGAATATTTCTTAATTTTGCTATAATTATTACTGAGAAAATAACTGGAAGTTTTTGTCTTATTTTAGAAAACAATGATGATTTCCTCACAATGGCAGAATGTCAGTTCATTATCAAGCACGAACTTGAAAATCTGAGAGCTAAAGATGAAAACATGATCCCTGGTTATCCCCAGGCAAAGTTGTACCCAGGAAAATCACTATGTAAGTCATTCTATCAATCGGTTTCATTAAGACGCACGTTCATGCAACTATTGTTTTCTTAACAGACATAAATAGCAAATTATGGAGACTTCTAGAAAGCTTACACAATTTGGCAGTAGCTTATTTTTTTATGACAGGAGCGTGTCTTTTGCTCTTTCAGCCTCCTTACATTGCACCTGTAAATCAATGCGTTTGCTTTGTGTGGTTCTCTGCTTCCTAATTATCAAGGCCTCGCAGCATTCAGTGAGCTTAAAGCTCAGTGTGAACATGCACGCAGTTCCAGTAGGAGCGGTTAGGTTGTGCCTGAACGTGTGCTGTAATGAAACCTCGGTGGAGGAGGGGCGTGAGCATTAGCAGTGACCCTTGCCTGGACCCTCTGTCCGTTCTCTGTGATCTCACTGAGTAGGAACACATGCAAACAAGAAAAAGCTCCGGATTTACAAAGTGACAAAGTACCTGAATGCAGATGAGCTATTTGCATTTTTCTGATTTCCTGTAATTCTGTTTTAATGAGAAGGCTAGTTTGCAGAATGAAAGAGTGTGCTGTGTACTCTTTTGATCCAGTTTACATCAAACCCGGCTAAGTAACAAGGCCTTGGAGCAGCTGAATATGCTTCTGCGTCCTCAGTCTGGTTTGCTCTAATGTCAGTGGAATGCACTCCTCTGACCGTCCCCCAGGGCAGCTTTCCAAGAACCAGTGCACATTCACTCCCCCCACAACCCCACCCCCATCAAACTTTGGAGTTTGCTCAGAGCAAGATCCAATCAACAATCATGCATCTTGTTTGCTTATTATCTCTAAATCTCTTAATATAAAACCATTTCTCTTTGGCATTCCCCTCCCCCCAACATGACATGGCCTTGCCTGAAGAGACCAGGCTGTCTGCCCCATAGGTTGCTTCAGAGCCTGGGTTTTCAGAGTGCTACCTGCTTGTCCCTCTGTTCCTTGCCTTTCCCGTCTCCGGGATGTTTTGGCCAAGCATGCATCACAGCTGATGCTGTGTCTTCTCTGGCTGTCTGAGGTCCTCAGCCCTGAGGGGTAGCAGGAGGACTTCTGAGATGTTCTTTTCTTTGTCTTGAAAGTCTTCTAACTTCCTGTCCTGTGGTGAGTATTGGGACTTCCTTTGATGGGATTTTCCCAAATTTGAATCTTCCCTTTTCTGCCTTTGTGTTTTTTGGAGTATTTTCTTAAGTATTTTTTTTTTAAAGATTTTATTTTTTAGATAAGTTGTTTATTTTCACTTTTTAATAGGAGCTCCTTTCTTTTTTTCTAAAGCAACCTGCAGCATTGATTCTCGCCCATTCTGAACTATACTCAGGATGCTGGCGAGAGCAGGGCTCATAGTCTGTTCCTTAGGCGTTGAAAGTCCTCTTTCCAGTTGATAGGACCTTTGGCAGGAAGATGCTTCCCCCATGCATCTTTCACATCTGTTTTCTATTTTTGTCAACTGAAAAGCTAATAGATGTCTATGATAAAAAATCAAACATAGAAAAATTGAGATAATACCAAGTCTTAACCCACATCTCCAAGTCCCCCTTACTGTTCTTTTTATTTTTTGAAAGATTTATTTATTTATTTGGAAGAGTTACACACAGAGAGAAGGAGAGGCAGAGGCAGAGAGAGAGAAAGAGGCCTTCCATACACTGGTTCACTCCCCAGTTGGCCACAACGGCTGGAGCTATGCCCCGATCCGAAGCCAGGAGCCAGGAGCTTCTTCCAGGTCTCCCACGTGGGTGCAGGGGCCCAAGGACTTGGACCATCTTCTACTGCCTTCCCAGCCCATAGCAGAAAGCTGGATCGAAGTGGAGCAGCCAGGACTCGAACTGGCGCCCGTATGGAATGCAATGCCAGCACCGCAGCCAGAGGCTTTACCCACTACTCCACAGTGGCAGCCCCTACCATTCTTTTATACCCTGGGAGAAATACTGTCCAAGAGAACACATGTCCAAACAGATAGTCATAGGCAGAACATAGCATTTTGGACCTTGCTTTTTTAACTTAGTGGGTATGTTTTGGTCATCATTTTAGATGACCATGTTAGATTTAACCCTTTTTATCTTGGTTATATGGGTGTCATCCTACTTATGAACATTTACTTTTTTTCCTCTTAAAATTTTTGAAAATTACAAACAAAGTAGGGGAGCTCTGAGAAGTCCGAGTGGCTTAGCGGACATTTCATTAGGTGCAGGTATTTCCAGATTCTCCCCTGCAGGGACTCCTTCAGTTTATCAAGGGAAGTCTTGCTGTGTTGGAGCACTGAGTCTGATGTTGGCTTTTATCATATTTAGAAAGTGTCTGTTTCCTCTACTTTATGAAGAATATTTTTGTGTGCCTGTAAATTTTATCAAATACTTTTCTAGTAGCATCCATGAAGGTTATGTTTTGATATTACCAATATAGAAAGCAATGTTAATTTGAGGGTACTTCAAAAAGTTCATGGAAAAGTGAAACTGAAAAGTATGTTTATTTTTGGTGCAAACATTGTGAACTCCTGCATAGTTTTTTTCATAGTACAGTTTTCCATGAGCATTCTTCTTTAATCTTAGAGTTTTACTTTCCAGCTAAATTCCATTTATACTCTTATTTTTTGCATCAAAATTGATGTGATGTGAATATTTAGATTTGTAGTATTTGACAATTTATTTCTATTACTTGTATGTTATTGCATATAGTTCTTGTATCCTTTCTACTGTTTTCTTAATCTTTAATAGCCCTAGCAGTTTACCAAACCTGTGAGTATTTCATTATGTTTCTGCCAATTTGCTCTTTGTCTTGTGCTATCTTTTTATGAATTTTCTTAAAGATTTACTTATTTACTTGAAAGGCAAAGTTAAACAGGGAGAGAAAGTAATCTTGGATCTGCTAGTTCACTCCCCAGATGACTGCAATGGCCAGGGTTGTGCCAGGCCAAAGCCAGGAGCTGCCTCTGCAGGGGCCGAATCACTTGGGCCATCTGCTGCTTTCCCAGGTGCATTAGCAGGGAGCTGGATTAGAAGTGGAGCAGCCTGGCTCAAACTAATGCCCATATGCAATGCCTGTGCTGCAAGCAGTAGCTTAACCTACTCTGCCACAGTGCTGGCCCTTGTTTTTTGGATTTTACAGCTATGTTATTGACTGCATAAAGACTTTGGGTTGATTTTAATTATAGATTGTATCTTTGTATCATTATGAAGTATTCTTCATTTTGTTTAAAGAGCAAACAAAGGAGGGGTGCAGTGAGGGATAGTCCTTGTTGACAGAAACCTTGTCCTACCAGCAGCAAAGCTACTTCTGTTACGGCCTCAGGACAGGAGCCTGCCTACCTGTACACCCAAGAGAAATCCATTAACGTCTTGCTTCTGCGTTTTCATGCGGTGGAAAATTTCTCTCTGAAGCAGTGGTGTCAGTTGGAAAACTGCTTGATGGTCTCCCCTGATGAAGGTGCACACTCACTCTTTCCTGTGCCCTCGCCACACCCAAGAGGCTGTAGCTGGGCCTTCACCTGATCTGATCGGTGCAGAGAAACAGGAAGAAATGGGGTGGTGACTTTAGCAACCAGGACAGTGCCCCAGTCTGACATACGTTTTATATGTCATGCCTTGCTGTCTGAAAACATGCTTTCTTGCTAACAAATTTAAAAATTTTGGAGGGGCCGGTGCTGTGGCATGGTAGCTAAGCCTCCGCCTGCAGTGCTGGCATCCCATATGGGTGCTGGTTTGAGTCTCAGCTGCTCGACTTCCAATCCAGCTCTCTGCTATGGCCTGGGAAAACAGTGGAAGATGGCCCAAATGCTTGGGCCCCTGCACCTGCATGGGAGACTGGGAAGAAGCTCCTGGCTTCAGATTGGCTGATCTCTGGCCATTGGGGCCATTTGAGGAATGAACCAGTGGATGGAAGACCTCTCAGTCTGTCTCTCCTTCTCTCTTTCCCTAACTCTGGGAATGGCACCAAGCAACTGCTTAAACATAGAGTGTGGAAATTTTAGTTACAAATGATGGCAGAAAGATTCCTCCAGCCTGTTCTTATTCATGACACTGAATTTTAAGCAAAGCAAGCAAGACACTTAAGAAGAAACCTCTGTCCCTGGGGAAAGTAAGAAAACAAAGTAAATGCCCAAGTCACATACTCTGAAAGTAGGCCTTGAAAATCTGCCCAGGCTACTCAGGCCTGCTTGCCCTGCAAATCTGGAGCAGGAGGCAGGATGCTCCTGAACAGTGAGGAGTGGGAATCTACTGTCCTGCCCCAAACAGGATGTGTGTGGGCCCCTGGGTCTCTTCTTCCCCCTGCCTGGCACCACAGCCACCAAGGCCGGAGGCCGCAAGGGCGGGGCTGCTGTGTGGGAAGCTGAAGCTGACCGGAACTAGCTGTGGCTCTGTGTTTCCTGGTTAGTTGTCCAAAGGCAGGTGTGGATGGCCACCCCAACATAAACTTCTGCAAGAGCAGGGCTCCCTGAAGCTCTATGTGGTGCGTAGGGCCACTCGGTACAAGCTCATTGATAAGCAAGACCTTTCTCTCCCTTCCTTCCTTCCTTCTTCCCTTCCCTTCCCTTCCCTTCCCTTCCCTTCCCTTCCCTTCCCTTCCCTTCCCTTCCCTTCCCTTCCCTTCCCTTCCCTTCGCTTCCTCCCTTCCTCCCTTCCTCCCTCCCTCCCTCCCTCCTTCCTTCCCTCCTTCTTTCCTTCCTTCCTTCCTTCCTTCCTTATTTATTTATTTATTTATTTATTTATTTATTTGAAAGGCAGTTAGAGCCAGAGCCAGAGATCTGCTATGCACTGGTATACTGCCCAAATGGCCGCAGTATCTAGGGCTGGGCTGATCCGAAGTTAGGAGCCAGGAGCTTCTTCCAGGTCTCCCTTGTGGATGCAGGGGCCGAAGCACTTGGGCCACCTTCTGCTGTTTTCCCAGGCCATTAGCAAGGAGCTGGATTGGAAGTGGAGTATCCAGGATTTGTACTGGAAGCTAGGCAGGATCTGAGCTGTGTGCCACCACTTTTCCTGCCAAAGGCCCCCAGAAACTTTCTCACCCTGGAAAGAATTGAGGTTCATTAAAAAATAAGTGACACTTGGGGCTGGTGCTGTGGCACAGCAGGTTAAAGCCCCAGCCTGCAGCACCCGCATCCCATGAGGGTGCCAGTTCTAGTCCTGGCTGCTCCTCTTCTGATCCAGCTTTCTGCTATGGCCTGGGAAAGCAGTAGAAGATGGCCCAAGTCCTTGGGCCCCTGCACCCACGTGGGAGACCTGGAAGAAGCTCCTGTCTCCTGGCTTTGAATCAGCTCAGCTCTGGCCATTGTGGCCATCTGGGGAGTGAACCAGCAGAATGGAAGACCTCGCTTTCTTTCTCTATCTCTGGCTCTACTTTTTTCTATAACTCCTCTGTCTTTCAAAATAAATAATTCTTGAGCCGGCGCCGTGGCTCAATAGGCTAATCCTCCACCTTGCGGCGCCGGCACACCGGGTTCTAGTCCCGGTTGGGGTGCCGGATTCTGTCCCGGTTGCCCCTCTTCCAGGCCAGCTCTCTGCTATGGCCAGGGAGTGCAGTGGAGGATGGCCCAGGTGCTTGGGCCCTGCACCCCATGGGAGACCAGGAAAAGCACCTGGCTCCTGGCTCCTGCCAGGATCAGCGCGGTGCGCCGGCTGCAGCGGCGGCCATTGGAGGGTGAACCAGCGGCAAAGGAAGACCTTTCTCTCTCTGTCTCTCTCTCACTGTCCACTCTGCCTGTCATGAAGGTACAAAGTAGAAAAAAATTCTTAAAAAAAAAAGTGATGCTCCCGAAGAAACTGGCGTAGAGCTCTGCAAACCTGCTACAAAGAGAGCCAGAAATAGTAAAAGGAGGAAAAAGAGAAAGAAAGGACAAAAACAATAGGCAGACCAGAAACACAGCCCCGAGTGACAGCATTGAGCCCCGTGCACTCCCTTAGCACTCGCCTGTGACTGCTCAGTGGCCGTAAGGGTGCTGACCCCAGTACTTGACGAGACGTGGTTCAAGTACTCCTGAAGAAAGGAACCCGGTGTACGTTGCTTCTTTCTTTAAATAGGCCCCCACAGCATCCTGCTCTCCTTCCGAGTAATTACGGTCTTAGCTGACGAGAGAAGCTTGAAGGATTAAAAAAAAAAAAAGACCTCTATTTTTAGAAAGAAGCTGAAACCAGAACCCTGCTTTTGGCATGGACGGTGAGAGCAGCCAGTCATTTAGGGCCTGCAAGCTTTGTGTTTGCTCCGAGTCCTTGGTTCATGGGCTTATTTTTAGGCTTTGCTTGAAAACAGAATCATGGAGCAGAGTCACCTTTGTCAAAAGAACTCAGCAAAAGTAAAATAATAATTGGGATGCCGTAAGTCAGTTCAAAATTCGAACCGTGGTGCAGTCAGTGAGAAGGATAGGACTTAGGAGGAGGGAAGAGCGAGCCTGCCTGAGCGGCCCCCAGTGAGCCGTGAGAATCTGGGCAGTGATGGGGAATGCACTTGAACTCCAGTTAGCTGCAGAACAGGCCACGGAAACCCTGGGCAAGAAAGACACGAATAGTGTGTTGGATAGCGCTGAGGCTGATGTAACCCCAACCGTATGTCTTTTTTACCCTAACTCCTGATACTTGGAGCGCAAAGCTTTAACAGAGGTTAAGAAGGAAGGTTTCCCTTCAGTCCTCGCCTCCAGACACTGCCTTCCTCACCATCACTCACTCAACGAGGCTTGATCCTAAGAGCCAGATGCTAAGAATTAAGTTTCAGACCCAGACTGTTTGCATAGGTAGTGTCGGATATCTCCTCCCCGTCTTGTGTTTTCATTTCTGAGAGGTTAGGTCTGCCTTTCGGTTATTCTGAAGATCTGACGATGGGGTCCCGACCGGAGTGCGCCCATTTCTCTGTGCTAAGTGTAGCCTTTCCGCACTGGAAGCTGACGTGGTGTTTCCCCTCCGTTCCTGATGTTTACCTGCTAGTGCTCGTGGAGGGGTCTCAGGTGTGATTTTCCTATCACTGGCTTAGGTGACAGGGAGCTAGGAGGTAAGGGTTGGGCTGACCTCAAGAAGCTCAAAGCTTACCAGTGGATGACAATAGCAAAGTTAAACAACTCACAAAGGCAAAGCATCCTTTCTTGATGCACACTCCATCTTACAAGGAGCCTGGTCTTTGGTAGGAGACTGAGGAACTAATGGAAAATACTGGGTCATCCCAGATGGGGCTTAAGGCATCGCATTTGAGGACTCTGTTCCGGTGAGCACACGGCCTCCTGATGACTTGGAGACGAGTGAGTCTGCAGTAAGCACTGTGGGTAGGAGAAGGTCCTGATTTCACTTCATGGTGCCACGGGGTTTGTTCTCTGGTCTCTTGCAGCCATGTGCGTGCACGTTAAAATCCTAGTCAACAGCCGGTGCCGCGGCTCACTAGGCTAATCCTCCACCTGTGGCGCCGGCACCCCGGGTTCTAGTCCTGGTCAGGGCGCTGTATTCTGTCCCGGTTGCTCCTCTTCCAGTCCAGCTCTCTGCTGTGGCCCGGGAAGGCAGTGGAGGATGGCCCGAGTACTTGGGCCCTGCACCTGCATGGGAGACAAAGAAGGAGGCACCTGGCCCCTGGCCCCTGGCTTTGAATTGGTGCAGCGTGCCGGCCGTAGCGGCCATTTGGGGGGTGAACCAAAGGAGGAGGAAGACCTTTCTCCCTATCTCTCTCTAACTCTGCCTGTCCAAAAAAAAAAAAACCTAGTCAAGTGACTGTTGAAAGTGGGAAATCATGGTTTGATTTTGATACTTTCTGCTTTTGTATCCTTGTTTTCAAATTGAACAAGTTGAACATAGCATCCAAAAGGATGGAGAGACCATTTTCTTACCTTCATGGTGGTGGGAGGACAAATTGTTAAACATGTTTCCAGGGACTGGCCAGCGCCATGGCTCAATAGGCTAATCTGCCTGCAGTGCCGGCACCCCAGGTTTTAAGTCCTGGTAGGGGTGCCGGATTCTGTCCCGGTTGCCCCTCTTCCAGTCCAGCTCTCTGCTGTGGCCTGAGAGTGCAGTGGAGGATGGCCCAGGTCCTTGGGCCCTGCACCTACAAGGGAGACCAGGAGAAGCACCTGGCTCCAGGCTTCAGATCAGCGTGGTGCGCTGGCCATTGCGGGGGTGAACCAACGGCAAAGGAAGACCTTTGTCTCTCTCTCTCTCTCACTGTCTACTCTGCCTGTCAAAAAAAAAAAAAAATCTTTCCAGGGACAATTTTGTAATCTGTGTCCAATTGTAATACACACACACCCTTGGCCTTGCCCTTAGCAATTCCACTTCTAAGTCCATTAAGTAAGGGGATAGGACAAGTGACAAAAGGGGCTTGCACATTCGTGTTATTGATCAGAGCAAAACAGGGACACATTTTCCAACAGAGGATTAGTTAGGCTGCGGCACTTCATACAAAGGAGTATTAGGACTCTAACATGGACGTTGCAGATTCTGTTTATTTAAGCGTTAAGAAAATATTAGATGCTGTTACATGAGAAGAGTTGACAAACAGTGTGGTGATTGCCATTTTGCTTTTAAAGTACGTGTTTACTAATGCACGCTTGGAAGTCTGGTTACAAATTAAGTTGCTATTGATGATGGAATGGGGGAGGGAGGCCTCATTCTAATTTGTACCCTCTGGCATGGTTTGAAATTTTACATCCTCTTACTCTGTTGGTCCAAGAAAACGGTGAATTTCTGTGAGTTCTGCAAAGCAAAAGCGTATCCACGCTCGGAGCAGGCAGTGCCGCCAGACCTGCGTGTCGGGTACCTCTGTTCCTGGAGCGCCGGAGCTGAGGCTCCCCAGTTTTCACGTGATTGGGACCATTTTCTCTCCGCAGTGAGAAGACTGCTCACGTCTGGCATCGTGGTGCAAGTGTTCCCGCTGCACGACAGCGAAGCCCTGAAGAAGCTCGAGGATGCCTGGTACACCCGCTTGGCTCTGAAGTATCAGCCCATAGGTGTGTGTCTGCGGCTGCTGGGTTACCGCGGAGTAAGGGCAAGGCTCCAGTGGGAAAGTACCACCCAGCAGGGGAGTAGTCTCACCAGCCCCCTGGGGGAAAACCGGGTCCAGGGGGTTAACAAGATGGGTTGGATTCTACCCCCCTCCCCGCACTTTGTTTGTTTCTTTTTTTTTAATTTTCTAATAGTATCCTAGATAGATTAAATCTCAGGCTTTCCCCGAATTCCACCAATAACACAGGTGGTTCACTGTGGCCTTCATGAACGCTGTGTCAGAGTGAGATGGGTTTTATGAGAGTTGTTATATAAAAAAAAAAAAAAAAAAGTTGTGTTTCTATAGAGCTAATTATTAGAGTGCACTGGGCTGTGCTCCTGTTTAGGGCAGGTGAGCAGTAGGTGTGAGCATGTTGTGAGGCAGTTCACAAGTATCTTGGTGGACATGTCTGGGTCTGTGCATTTTCTCTTAACACAGTTTTTTTTGACAGAGTGGACAGAGAGACAGAGAGAAAGGTCTTCCTTTGCCGTTGGTTCACCCTCCAATGGCTGCCGCGGCTGGCGCACTGTGCTGATCCGATGGCAGGAGCCAGGTACTTCTCCTGGTCTCCCATGGGGTGCAGGGCCCAAGCACTTGGGCCATCCTCCACTGCACTCCCGGGCCACAGCAGAGCGCTGGCCTGGAAGAGGGGCAACCGGGACAGAATCCGGCGCCCTGACCGGGACTAGAACCCAGTGTGCCGGCGCTGCAAGGCGGAGGATTAGCCTAGTGAGCCACGACACCGGCCTCTTAACACAGTTATAAGAATATTAAGTTATTTGTTATGTATAAACATTATGTGGACTTCTGTCAACCTGGCTGTTCAGATCTTTGGTTTTGATTGTACTTTTTAAGTTTAAGAATTAGATTAAAGCTAATTTCCTCAGGAACATCGTGACTGTTATTTTTCTTCAAATGACAGTTCTCTTTTGATAGTCTTTAAAGAAATCCTTTTCTTTTCAATTTCTGTTTCTGGAAAAAACTATTACAATGTTAGAGCAATAAACACAGTTTTTAAAAATATCCAACTTTGAAATTGCATTTTGAGTTTTTACTTTTATTCTCTGACAAATTTGGTTTTCAGTAATTCCAGTGATAGAAGTCCTGTTAAGATAAAGTTACAACAGCTTCTCCTTTGGCTTTGGCATTGATGTGCAGGAGGTTTGAATAGTGCCTCCAAGACCCATAAGGTGACAGAAATTCTCAGCTGCTTCCCAGAGAATCAGGGAGGAAGTGAGCTGCTGGTGGAGGCTGGGTGTGTGGTAGTCCTGGGCTGGCCCCTGGGCCGTGCTGGGACAGGTGATGGCAGCAGGGGCACAGAGTGTGTGGTGGTCCTCGGCTGGCCTCCGGGGCATGCTGGGACAGGTGATGGCAGTGGGGGCACAGGCAAATCTTGAGCTTGCCCAAGATCCAAATGGGAAGGTCGTCTAGTTCACTTAGGAGCCTCCCTTCACTTAAAAATGAATACGCTCACTTGAGATGATTCCGAAGCCTTGGGCAATCTGTTCTCACGTGCGTCCCTCCTTCCACCACAGACAGCATCCGTGGCTACTTTGGAGAAACAATCGCACTTTACTTTGGGTTTTTGGAATATTTCACTTTCGCCTTGATCCCCATGGCGGTCATCGGGTTGCCTTACTACCTGTTTGTGTGGGAAGACTATGACAAATACGTCATCTTCGCCTCCTTCAACCTGATCTGGTCCACGGTGATCCTGGAGGTGTGGAAGCGTGGCTGCGCCAGCATGACCTACAGGTGGGGCACTCTGGTCATGAAGAGGCAGTTTGAGGAGCCCCGGCCGGGATTTCACGGGGTCCTGGGTGTCAACTCTGTCACGGGCAGGGAGGAGCCCCTCTACTCCAGCTACAAGAGACAGTTGCGCATTTACCTGGTCTCCCTGCCGTTCGTCTGCATCTGTCTCTATTTCTCCCTGTACGTCATGATGATTTACTTCGACATGGAGACCTGGGCCTTGGCTCTGCATGACAGCAGCGAGTCGGAATGGACCAGCATCTTGCTGTACGTGCCCAGCATCATCTATGCCATCGTGATCGAGATCATGAACCGCCTCTACCGCTACGCCGCTGAGTTCTTGACTTCCTGGGGTGAGTCCTGGCGCTCTGTGCGCGTGTCTTGTTGTCCCATGGGAAGTGTCGCTGAGAGCCCAGGGTGCATGTAGCTGCTACCTTGCGGGGCAGACAGCTTGCAGTGCCTGGGCTTGGTGAGCGCTGATGTCCCTGTATCTAGGTCACCTCAGTTCTCACTGTGTCTGAGGCAGGTGCCGTTCTGACTGCCTGTTCTCGGTGCCCTGCTAAGCATTTCAGCCATAACATCTCATGTCTCCTCCCCAGGGCACTGTGAAAATCAAGTTGTTTCACCATTCTTGTGGGTAAAGGTACTGACAGTTCACAAGGTTCAGACAGCAAATTGTAGAACAGAGCTAAAGCAGACCTATCTGTCTAACAGCTCGGCTTTTTTTTTTTTTTTTTTTTTGACAGGCAGAGTGTTGACAGAGAGAGAGAAAGGTCTTTTTCTATTGGTTCACCCCCTAAATGGCCAGCACGACCAGTGTGCTGCGCTGGTCAGGAGCCAGTTGCTTCCTCCTGGTCTCCCATGTGGGTACAGGGCCCAAAGACTTGGGCCATCCTCCACTGCCTTCCTGGGCCACAGCAGAGAGCTGGACTGGAAGAGGAGCAGCCGGGACAGAATCTGGTGCCCGACTGGGACTAGAACCCGGGATGCCGGTGCTGCAGGCGGAGGATTAGCCTAGTGAGCTGCGGCGCTGGCCAGCTCGGCTTCTAGTACTCTAACATTGTGTTTCATGCTGAGCGTGACATAGATGGAAATCATCTTCAGGGTACTCTGCCGAGGGAACTGTGGCTAACACCCTAGAACCCCTTGTCCAGCTGGTGTGGGGCCCTGAGGGCTGCCATTGAACTCAGGAAAAGCAGGTGTCTGTGGATGGATCTGTGGTTCCAAAATCAAAAAACTGTTCATATTTTAAAATGATCTTGATATCTGTTTATTTGAAAGGGAGAGTGACAGAGAGAGACTGAGAGATTGCTTCCATCCCCTGACTCACTCCCCAAATGGCTGCAAAGTTCTGGGCCAGCCCAAGCCAAAGGCAGGAGCCCAGAGCTCCTCCGTCTGGGTCTCCCTCATTCATAGCAGGGGGCCCAGGACTTCGACTTTTCCAGGTGTATGAGAAGGGAGCTAGATCAGAAGCTGAGCAGCCACTGACACTGAACTGACACTCCCTGATATGGGATGCCGGCATTACAGGTGGTATCTTAGCTCACTGCCCCACAATGCTGGCTCCTAAGCCATTCTGTCTTGAATTTGCATAATATGATAAATATTCTGGGTCATTCCATAGGGATGACATTGTGGACCCTAACAATGTTCTAGATTATTTTGATTAGCAATACAACAGTTACCAATTGTTAAGTAATTGTTATTGCAATACTGGGATAAAGTTTGATATTATTTCTGATCCTGGGCAAGGAATGGGATCAGCCCCATTTTGTAGGTGAGGGTGCTGGGTGTCAGCAGGCTGCCTAACTCACCCAAGGTCAGGCAGGGGCTGAGTAGCTGAGCTGGCCTTCGGATCAGCGTGACACTGCCTCTCTGTGGAAGGGACGCCTCCCTTCAGCATCTTCCTGTCCTGCTGCCTTGGGATCTATACTGCGCCACCTTTTCTCTATGACAGTACAAACAAAATTTGCCCGTGTAAGTGACATGGACAGAGAATTGCTTTTTCTTTTGAGATCATGCTCGATTTTCACCATTACCCCTTATCCTGAGTCTCATAGGGGTGACTGTCTATAGGACCCAGATCATTGGCCAACACTTCTCAAATTCCCTTGTAGCATGAATACTTCAACAGTAATTTCAGACCACAGCCCTGTTGCAGGGCCATGACAACTGTGTTCTCGCTTGATGGTGATCTCAGTGGTGACAAACACTGCTGATGGACAGGCCAGCACTTTGAGCAGCCGTGGCTCTGGCGTTGTGCACGTCAGCTCTCAGCCCGGTTCCTACTTTGCTTCGTGGCAGTGCATCCCTGTTGTTTGTGTACCTGAGAGAAATGATGTCTTCCTTTACTATTTTAGAGAATCACAGATTGGAGTCTGCCTACCAGAATCATCTGGTTCTGAAAGTCTTGGTGGTAAGTAGACTCTTTATGTACAAATCCATTTTGGTTGTAGCAGTGGCGCCTCCAGAAGCTACAGCTGGGATATTTAGAGATATAAAGAGGAAGAGTTGATGCTAAATTTTTTTAAAGATTTACTTTTTTTTTAAGATTTTATTTATTTTATTTGAGAGATAGAGTTACAGACAGTGAGAGGGAGAGACAGAGAGAAAGGTCTTCCTTCCGCCAGCTCACTCCCCAAATGGCCGCAGTGGCCGGAGCTATGCTGATCCAAAGCCAGGAGCCAGATGCTTCTTCCTGGTCTCCCATGTGGGTGCAAGGGCACAAGCACTTGGGCCATCTTCCACTGCTTTCCCAGGCCACAGCAGAGAGCTGGATTGGAAGAGGAGCAGCTGGGACTAGAACCGGCACCCATATGGGGTGCCGGCGCTGCAGGCGGAGGATTTACCTACTGTGTCTACTGCACCATGGTGCCGGCCCCAAGATTTACTTACTTGAAAGGGTTGCAGAGAGAGGTCTTCCATCTGCTGGTTTATTCCCCAGATGGCTGCAACTGAGTGGATCCGGAGCCAGGAACTGGGAGCTTCTTCCAGATCGCCCATGTGGTGGGTGCAGGGGCCCAAGCATTTGGGCCATCCCAGGTGCACTGGCAGGGAGCTGGATGGGAAGTAGAGCATCTGGGACTTGAACCAGCATGCATATGGGATGCTGGCACTGCAGGTGAGGGCTGTAACCCACAGTGCCAATAATAGATAGGCATTTTTGTCAAACAGATAAGGATTAATTAATATATGCACATCTGTTGTCATTTGTCTTATCTCAGATGTACACTTGGTGTAAGACTTGAAAATACAGAAAGTAAAATCAGAGCCAATTTCCATTTTTTTAATTTTTGTAATTAAATATTTTTAAATTATTTGAAAGGCAAAGAGTGAGAGAGAGAGAGAGAGACAAAGACAGATAGAGGTCTTCCATCTACTGGTTCATTCCCCAAATAACCTGCAACAGCTGGTACTATGCCAGGCTGAAGCCACGGGCCTAGAATTCCATCTGGATCTCCTGCATGGGCAGCAGGGACCCACATACTTGAGCCATCCTCCGCTGCCCCCCAGGGTGTGCATTAGCAGGAAGCTACAACTGGAATCAGAGCCAGGACCCCGTATAGTCCACTATGCAGAGGACTCCCGGACAGTCGATGTGGAAGGCAGGTGTCTGGGTGGCATCTGAACCACTCTAAGTGCCCACACCTCCAGCTATTGAAAGTACTAACCCTTTTTTAGACATATTTCCATTATTTTTGTCTCACTACTTGAGAATTCTTCTGTGTACCCACAGTCTGTTTAATGACAAAACATTAAATTCCTTAAAAAAAAAATGCCTGTTAAATTTCCAAAGTTCTAAAGGTTTGCAGGCTAGGAGGAAGAAGGCAGAGAGAAAGCACTGGGTCACGTGTTCGCTGTTTGTGTCAAAGCTCCCGCACCCTTCCCACCGTTGTGACAAACAGTAAACCAGTATCTCGCTGGAAAGCGCCTCGTTTATCCGGGGCCTGGCTCAGCCTTGGGGAGCGTGTCTGAGAGTAGGGAGGGGTGCGTGGGATCCACTGAGCTTCCAGCAGCGTTGATCTACACAGTGCACCTTCTCCGCTCCGGAGCACGGGCTCCAGGTCCTCATCTAGAAACAGTCTCTGTTCCAGCTGTCGACACGGTGCTGAGAAGTTTATCTGTCTGGCTTTTCTGTGCCCGAAATATCAGAAGCCGCAGTCGGAGCTGGGAGTAGGGGAACTTGCAGAGCAGGAGTGAAATGGAAAATGTGCTGCAAACAGATCAGAAGTCAGCAATTTGGGCACCTTAGAAGGTCAGGTGCTCAGGGCCTCATTCACACTGTGAGGACTTGTTGGTGAACACGTGGCTGCTCACGTGGCGCCAAGGTCACCTTCTCTGTTCTCTGTGGAAGAAAGCAGTGTGTGCACAAGGTCATTCGAAAAGATGACACTTTCGGGCTGCTCCTCTTCTGATCCAGCGCTCTGCTTATGGCCTGGAAAAGCAGCAGAAGGTAGCCCAAGTGCTTGGTTCCCTGCACCTGTGTAGGAGACTCAGAAGATGATCCTGGCTCCTAGCTCCGGATTGGTTCAGCTCCAGCCATTGCGGTCATTTGGGGAGAGAATCAGTGGAAGGAAAATCTCTCTCTCTGCCTTTCCCTGTCTCTCTCTGTAAGTCTACCTCTCAAATAAATAAATAAAAATCTTAAAAAAAAGATGACACTCTAGAGCTCTGGCCTTTCAAGAGAAAAACACTCCGTTGTCTTAAAGCCTTTGGTTATTTGTAAGACTGTTGTACAAATGCCAGAGAGAGTGTAGACCGCTGCTTGTGGTGGGGTCCTCCCTGCCTGTGCTGCCCAGCTGCCTCTCGGTGAGTGCATGGGGAAGAGACTTAAGCCTGTGGGCACAGAGAGACTTCCAGGGCTGGGCTGCTGGTGGCGGTGGTCCCCTCTTTCCAGGGCCACCTGGCTGGCTGCAGGGGAGTCACAGGCCTGGCGGGGAAGGGGGCGTTTCCCCTGTGGCTTATTGTCAGTGGGGGTCCTGACCGATGACCCCTTGCTAGTTGAATGGGGAGGAGTGAGCCTGCCTGGGCCCCCTGGCGAGGTCTTGGTTGCGCTCGTGTGTTGGGCTGGGGGAGCTGAAGATGTACTGGGCTACATGTACCTTCCGCTGTGGGGTCCCAGCCCACTCGGGCTTCCTCTCCACGGCTGTCAGAGCTTTGCTTTGGCTCCCTCTGGGTTGAATTGCACACATGGCTGTGCATGCAGGAGCGTTGTTTGGGTGGGTGACACGCGCAGCCAGGGCGTCCCTCGGCACGTGGTCCGGGCCAGGTGTGCCAGGAAGCACTGTGTCACCTTGTTGTCTTTTTTGGCAGTTCAACTTTCTCAATTGCTTCGCTTCGCTCTTCTACATTGCCTTTGTCCTGAAGGATATGAAGCTTTTGCGTCAGGTGAGTGTGGCCGGCAGAGACGTATCCATTCTTGTACATCTTGCAGGTGGCTGCCTAGATCCAGAGTCTAATTGTCATACAATTACTGTTTTTACAAGTGTAATCTTTTAAATTGTATAGATCTCTAAACCCAACTCTACATAAAATAATCCATCGCATCGTGTGTCATACTCAGGGGAAAAGAAACAGGTGGGGCCTAACCAACTTGCAGAATGAATCATTTAGGGCAGTGAAAATCAGTTACGTGGCTGCCCTGAAACTTGTCCAAAACAATTGGAAAAATACATTCAGTGACTTGACCTTTGGTGTGTGTCTTGGGAATGGGGAGGTGATCAGTATACCTTAAATGTGTCTAGGAAATTTCATTTTTAAATGAGTAGGTTGTTGAACTTCAGAGACCAGGGCATCCTATGCAGCGTTACATCTTTTATGAAATGTTTAAAGTCTGGTATTTATTTTAGTGTACTGTGATTTCTGAATCCCGTAACGCCAGTGAATAATGCATTGAGAATAACTACCGGATTTTGAAATTCTTTTTTTATCCTTGAGCCAGGTATCAATAAAGAACTGTTCCTTGCTGATTTTAATATTCTGGGGTTGTTGGTGAGCAGGCTCTCAAAGCCTAGGCTTTTTAGTATTTATATGAGAGCTTGTGCCAAGTTTTCAGGAAATGAAAACATTGGTGTAATCAGGGAAGATTAAAAGACTTTGTAGTTGTCCTAACAGCTTGCATAAAAGTAAGATTAAGTGTTGTGCTCTTGACAACTGTGCTAGTTATGTTGCTGCTCTCTAAAAAAGTATTTTTGAAGGCAGAAAGCTGTAAATAAAGCACACATGAGAATACTAGTAGAGCACGGCTTCTTTCTTTCTTTCTTTGAAAATTTTGTTTGAAAGAGCCAGAGAGAGAGAAAGCCTGAGATCTCCCATCTGCTGGTTCACTCCTCAGATGTCCACAATAGCTGGGGCTCGGTTCAGGTCTCCATGTGGGTGGCAGAGCCGTTGTCTGCTAGGAAGCTGGGATCTGGAGTGGAGCCAGGACCCAAACCCAGGCACTTTGATGTGGAGTGCAGATGTCCCAAGCAGTGTCTGAAACCAAACAGCCACCTTAGCTTCTCCATCTCTTAGGGTTGGGAGGGTCATCTTTATTTAATAGAGGCCAGGGGAATAGAATATCCTTTAAGAGAGAGAACTGTGATACCAGCAAAGGTAGTATGTGATGGGAGCATTTGTATTTATATGGAAAAGTGGAAATTGACGTCTGTGGAAGCCACTTGGGTAGCTTTGCCAGGAGCCTTCACTCATCCCCAGGAAATCATCAAAGATTCCTGCACATGGGTATCCAAGCAACAGCTCTTCTAATAGTTAAAGTCGGAAATATACTTAGATTCAAGAGGCCCAGTTAAAAATAGTTGTTGTTTACGTGGGCTAATGCTCAAAATGTATTGAGTGAGAAAGCAATATAGAACTGTATGCGTGTAGGGTAATTAGAGTTTTGTTTTTAATGTATGATTGGAAAGAAATACTACAAGATGTTAATAATGACTCCTGTCCTAGTTGTGGAACTGTGGGTAGCTTTTTTCCATCCCTTATTTTGTACAAGGAGGAAGATGGATTTGTTCGATAATTTAGTTTTTTGAAATTTTAACCAGACTGTTTTTTGTTTCCAAGTTGGCAGCATCCTTGAGATTCGTATGTTGTAAGCAGGATAAGATGACAAGGATACAATTTCAAGTGATTTCATTTTCCTGCCAACTTTTGACTTTTACTTATTATTATAAATTTATTTGTGTTTTAATTCGAGTCTTCCCTGTAAAAAACCGGAAATTTGAAGCACTCTTCGTACTCACTTGTCCAGTGCTGCAGTAGTGTATTACCTGCTGACGGCTGCGTCCTAAATGTTGCGTAGCTGTACATGTGTTGTGATTTTCGGAAGCTGCTTTGCCACATACAATTTACTGTGCTTCCCTCTAGAGTTTGGCCACTCTCCTGATCACCTCTCAGATCCTTAACCAGATTGTGGAATCGCTTCTCCCTTATTGGCTGCAAAGGAAGCACGGCGTGCGGGTGAGGAGGAAGGTGCAGGCTCTCAAGGCAGACGTCGATACCACCCTCTATGAACAAGTCATCCTGGAAAAAGAAATGGGAACTTACTTGGTAAGTTGGAATACTGCAGAGTGCAGTGTTCACTAGCAGTGGTTAACGGCCATGCGCTGAGTTCAACAGATGTTAAAGCAACACTGAGCAGCTCGGCCGTGACTACCTGATCAGTGCTTTCCAGAAGGTTTCCGTACCGTGAACCACCCCAGAGTTACCATGACAGCACCGTGCATTGGAATGCGGTGTCGTGAACCTGGTTTCTGCTGACAGTGCCGGAGAGCGAGTGTGGACAGCCATGCAGCTGCTCTTCAGAGACGGGGTGGGAAGAGTTGCCTCCAAGATGACAGAGCAAGGGGGTTGGAGAGGGAATGGTCTTGCTCGCTCACGATGCTTCACCAGATAGAAAGCAATCCTTGAAGCCAAACGATGGAGGCCCGCTGCCACAGAGCAGAGTGCAAATCCTGAAGATGATTTTTTACCTAAAATCAGTGCCAGTGTAGAAATAGAAAGCAGTTCTTTTAAGACAGAGGCATTTCTGAGTTATTTTTAGGGACTGTAAGCAGATTATTAGAGGTTTGGACACTTAGAGTGTTCAAAAACCTCACTCATAAAAGCTGGGTATCCAACCCACACTTGGGAGCTCTGATTGCATTCACCGGCTCTCCGTCTGGGGCCTGGAGGCCTGCTGAGATCACGTTGGCACCAGATGGTTGTGTCCTGTATCCTGCAGCTTCTTTCCTGGTTTGGGAGTCTTGGTTTTGGCATGCTAGGCCTTGGGTGCTTCATGCAGTGATGGTCGGTTGTTAAACTCCCACAGTCTGGTTTTTCACTCTGAATGAATTCTCCTGACTTCATTGCTGATTTTTAGAGCTTTTTCCCAAATGGGGAAGAATTTTAGTGTGTATTTTCATCTTGGGCAAGAGATTGTTGTCCTTCTCCCCCTGCTCACTCCTCATAGCCAAACTTTATTTTATTTTATGCGGTTGCTCTCCCAGGGCTTCCAAGTCCCTGGTCTAGAGCCAGGTATCTGTAGCCCAGAGCGCACACCTCGTGGTGACCGTGGGGATTCGGACAAGGCCAGCAGATAGCATGCCGTCCACATCAGCTGTAGTTCCCAGACTGCACATGGGGCTTTCTTCAGCCCACTTTCAAGGGCAGAGGCCACTGACCCAGCCCTTGGCTTTGCTCAGTTAACCTGATTCCAGTTGTACCCATGGGAGCAAGTGGCTGTCCTTGGTTCTCCTGTGCCTCTGGGGACAGCCCCTGGCCACCTTGGCGGACCAGTGGATGTGATGCTTAGCCACCTTAAGGTTCATGTTATTGGCTCTGGAGGAAGCTCAGTGCATATTTGAAGCATGTCTCAGGACCCGCGCAGCTCTCTGTCTTGTTTGTGAGTGGTGATGTATCTTTGGATCCAAATACACATATATGCTGTGTCAGGAAGCAAAGGTGATTGAATGTGAGCTCACAGCACATCTTGAACCGCAGCACTGTTTCTGTTTATATGTGGAGGACTGAGAACACACACACGTGCACATACACACACGCAGAAAGCAGCTCGTGGGAACAGTGTACAGCTGTCCATCCTGGACTGCTTGTGTGCAAGTTTAGCATGAGTTGAAAGCTCAGTGTGGCTCAGCTTGTATCAGAAGTGGCATTTTGGACCAGGTTCTGAAGCAGCGGTCCGCCCTGCCGTGCTCTGCCTTCTGGCCCCCCTTCATGGGAAGGGCTCATGTCCCCAGCCTGCACCCAGTGCCTGCGCGTCATCTTTGTACCTACTCCAAACTGACAGCAGCTTGCCTCTGGCGGAGTAAGGCACAGTCTTCAGTTCCTCTGCTGGTCGTGTCCCGTCTCACGCCTGCCCCTCGCCATTTCTCGCAGTAATTTGCCGTATTGTTCATCCCTAAGTCTGCTACTTCTCCTCTGGGCAGTTAGAATCTGCTTCCAGCTCTCTTTCTTCCCTGGAGTGGTTTGGGTGAACAGCAACCTCCCCTAAAGTGCCCTAAAGCAAATTCCCAGTGTCCTAATCAGGTGGTTTCTCCTGGCTCAGTGAATGGAGCACAAGCATTCAAACAACATTGCCACCTTCTCAGAAGGTCTGATTAATCTCAGAACTGGTGCCAAGAAGGGGACGACAGTGCCAAAAATATTAGATCTTACCTTTCCTGGCTCTCCTAGCATCTGACAGTACCTTTCTGCAGGCAACTCATGGGAAGTGTGGCTTTTCCTGGGTTACAACAGGCCACTGGCGCTCTAAGTCGTTAATCTTGTGGTGAGTGGATCAGGAGCAGGGTTCAGGATGTGGCTTTCCCAATTCAGAATTTTGGTGTTGTCCAGTGCAGGCTGTCTGATCTGAAGTGAAACAAACGACACCCATGTCTGTGCCTGAACTCAGGGGTCCACAGAACCCCTGCGTGACCTGGCCCAGGTCCCCCCCTCATCGCCCGCAAAGCAAACACCCCCCACCTCTCTCTCCACTGGAGTGACGTTGGGTATTGGCTTTTTCAGCTCTCTCCGTATGTGCAGAGGGGAGATGCTCTGGGGTCACGTTGGATCCAGATGATTGTGTCCTGTGTACTACTCCTTCCCTGGGATGTGTTTTTTCTTCACTGATGTCAGTGAATATAGAATTATATTTTCTGTTCTTCCAGCCTGACTGCCATGCATGAGTCTAAAATAAGGTTGCCAAGCTTGGGGAGAAAGCAATTTGGCTGAAACTTAATAAACCTGATCATAAAGGTAATACTTGCTCACTCACTGTAGAAAACTTGGAACATGCAGGACGGAGTAGTCGGTAAAAGGCACCCTCTGTAGTCCAGCCCCACCCCCCATTCACTGGGGTCACTCCCTGGAGTCTTCTGCCTCCAACTCAGCAACGCTGGGCTCAGGTTGTGTGGCTTCTGAGAGGGTCGCTGTCCTTTCCTTCTTGGGACTGTCCGCTCACAGCCAGGCATGTGGCCTGGAAAGGCTGGGTTCTCGTGATGCGTCTGCCTAGCAGGGTGCGTGCTGGGAGCCCCCACCTTACGGAGCTTGGCCAGAAATGCCAGGCGGTGCCATCTTGGTACTGAACAGCTTTTGCTCTCGAAAATATTACCATTTCTCAGGACCTCTTTCATTTAGATGAGGATTTTATTTCAATGAGTTTTTATTAGTTTTGATTTTCTGGTATCATAAACATCACTAGATGGAACCCACAGAAAAAAAAAGATTTTTAATGTCCTCAGTAATTATTTTTTTGTATTGCTTTTTGTTTTTTGAAATTTAGGGCTCTTGAGACCGGAAAGATTGAGAACTGCAAATCTAGAATAATGCATTCCGCCTTTTTTGTTTTTTCAAAGCTTTGGCATTTGTGAATTCACGGTCTGATTGCTTCCTCTTAAGATGTAAGGTCCCTGTGAGGAGGTGCGAGGTCACGGATGTGTCTCTCTGGGGGGGCCATGGTGCTTGGTCACTCGGGTGACTGGGTGACATTGCAGAGGCTCTTTCTCACTTTGTAATGAAGGAGTTACTTGTGGGTAGATACTTTGAAACTTCCCCATCCCTATAAATGGTGTCTTTTTAAAGGTAACAGATACAGCTTCTAAGTGTTGGTTGCTGGCCTGTGGGAATTCTGTTGGCTTTTGTGTCTTTTCCCCAGCAACTTTGCCAAATTCTGCTGTTATTTCTAATATTTCTTCTGTAGATTTTGTTGGATTTTCTACATGGACAGTTATTCCAGCAATAACATTTTCTTCCTTCCTTCAGTTTTTATCCTCTTGTTACCTAGTAGGTGCACTATTAAATTTAGTGCAATCTGAATAGAAATAGTTTTAATAGGAATAGATTGTGTTCCTGACTTTTTATACTATTGGGTATGTTTTTTAAGTTTTTTTTTTATTTATTTATTTGAAAGAGAGAGGGAGAGAAATCTTTAATTTGCTGGTTCACTCCCTCAAATGACTGCAGCAGCCAGGCCAAAGCCAGGAACTCCATCACGGCCTCCCACGTGGTTGTCTTCCGCTGTCATCCCAGGTGCGTTGTCAGGAAGCTGGATTGGTGTGAACTGGCACTGTGACAGGGGATGTGGGTGACACGGGCAGCAGCTCAACGAGGCCTGCGGACGCTGGACATTGATGGTGTGTGCGAGGGCTCGGGCTCCAGGCGGACTGGCTCTGACATTCAGTCCCTGTGTGACTGAGAGCACCCGGCTCAGTTCCTCTCAAGTTAGGAAACAGGAGCTTGTTGAAACCACAGGGCTCAGTGAGGCATTCGAGCAGAATGACAGGGTCCTGTTGAGGTGCTGGTGACAGAGGGGACAAGTCGGTCACTGGCACGGCCATCCTACTCTAGGGAAGTTTCCTTTGTCCCATAAAGGGGGCCTGAGATCTTCTTTTTTAACAGATGGGATTTACAGCTATAAATTTCCCGTCAAGCTCTGCTTCCGTAGCATCTCATAAGTCTTGGTTGTTGAGTCTTTATATTTGTCTTACAATGTTTTCTAATGTCTTTTGTGATTTATTCTTTGACTCATTTGTTGTTTTCTTCTTTTGAATACTTTGCTCAATTTCCCTATGTTTGTGGATTTCCTTGTTAGTGATTTCCAAGTTCGTTACATTGTAGACAGGATATTTTGTGTGATTTTTTTTCAGGCCTTTTCAATTTACCGAGTGTTCCTTTATGGTCCACCTTATCTCTTGGAGAACATACCATGTACGTTTGATGAGCATGTGCGTTCTGCAGCTGGGCTGAGTATTCTGTAGGTTTGTGTTAGGTTTTTGTGTTAGGGCGCACCAACACAACACTAAGACTAGAAGCTTGCAGCTCTGCCTTAGCATTCACTTCCTGAATGCTTCTCAGGTCTATCCTGAGCATGTGCACCATCTTCTGCACATGCCAGGTCTCATACATTGCAGGAGAAGGTTGGAGCTTTTCAGATCACCTGCAGACCTCCTACTCCTCGTGGGTCCTTGGAGCTCCCTGGCTGCTCCTCGTTTGCTCCAGCTGGTACCCATCACTCCAGGCAGACCTGATCTTAGAGCACTTGACTAACACCATCGGGGAGAAACTCTATGAGGTTGAATAGAGGTAGGCTTTTGAGTGGGGTCTTCTAGGGCACTACAGCCAGGTTGGATACCAACTATCCTTTGAGAATGAGGCTTTCAAAAATCTCTACCCCACTCTGTTCCCTCTGGTACATGGAATGTATGCTGTTGATTTTCCAGGCTTCTACAGAGCTGAGGAGCAGGGAATTAGACTAGAGTAAGTTGTGGCCAAGTCTTTGTTTGGTCTTCAGAGTACTATAAGAGTTGATTCTGAGAAATTTTGCAGTTTGCTTGTTGTTACTGTTGTTTTTGTGGAGGGGTGAAGTTTTGGCAGTTGTTGATCCCCCATTCTTACTGACATCGTTATCATTAGCTTTAGTTTGTTTGTTTTTAAGATTTATTTATTTGAAAGGTAGAGTTACACAGAGGCAGAGGCAGAGAGAGAGAGAAAGAGGTCTCCCATCCTCTGGTTCACCCCCTAAATGGCCACAATGGCCAGAGCTGGGCTCATCTGAAGCCAGGAGCCAGGAGCTTCCTCATGGCCTCCCACATGGATGCAGGGACTCAAGCGTTTGGGCCGTCTTCCACTGCTTTTCCAGGCCATTAGCGGGGAGCTGGATTGGAAGTGAAGTAGCTGCTACTCAAACCAGCACTCATATGGGATGTAGGCACCAGAGGTGGAAGCTTAAACTACTATGCCACAGCACCGACCATTAGTTTTCTAGTGGAGGATCAGGAAGTGATATGAGGGGGCTGTCATAAAAGTTCTCTTAACGATGACTCTGGGTCATGTTTTTAAGTTTTTCAAGAGCAAACCAATTTTGCTGTTGTTTAGGAAAGAAATGTAATGACTTAATAATGTGGCATAGAAGGCCGGCACTGTGGCTCACTAGGCTAATCCTCCGCCTGCGGCACTGGCACCCCGGGTTCTAGTCCCGGTTGGGACGCCGAGGTCTGTCCCGGTTGCTCCTCTTCCAGGCCAACTCTCTGCTGTGGCCTGGGAAGGCAGTGGAGGATGGCCCAAGTGCTTGGGCCCTGCACCCGCATGGGAGACCAGGAGGAAGCACCTGGCTCCTGCCTTCGGATCGGCGCGGCATGCCTCGCCGGCCATAGCAGCCATTGGGGGCTGAACCAACAGAAAAGGAAGACCTTTCTCTCTCTCTCTCTCTCTCACTGTCTAACTCCGCCTGTTCAAAAAAAAAAAAAAAAAAAATTGCATAGACATAGAGAAATGACCTGCTAAATCAGTTCTTATTCTTTATTTCAGGGACTTAATGTGAAATTAGTATTTAAAGTAAATTCTGTTGAGAAGAAAGAATTGGAGGAAACTCTAAGTTCTGTGTGTGTGTGTGTGTGTGTGTGTGTGTGTGTGTGTGTGTGTTTTACCTGTTTAGAAGCGAATGTGACATCACAGCCACGTCTGCTTTCCTGTTGTTTACGTTTCCAGGGCACCTTCGACGATTACTTGGAGCTGTTTCTGCAGTTTGGCTACGTGAGCCTTTTCTCCTGCGTCTACCCACTAGCAGCTGCCTTTGCTGTGTTAAATAACTTCACGGAAGTCAATTCAGATGCCTTAAAGATGTGCAGGGTCTTCAAACGTCCATTCGCAGAACCTTCGGCCAATATCGGCGTATGGCAGGTAATTATTTTTAAAAAGGTTATTCCATGTTTACAAAAGGAGGCATTGTGAACAACAAGACAAAACAAGCACGAACAATAAAACTCTACACAGATTGAGGAAAACTGGAGCTGAGTCCTTGCTTTGCAACAAACTCTTGCTGTGAGCAGCTTCACTTGTCTGCTTTTTAGGTTTAGGAACGGGGTGCAGGGGAGGTAAAATATAATCCATGAAACCCTTCTCAGATGCAAAACTATGATGATCTTCTAGGAATGTAGCCCCAGCTGGGACTCTATCTGACTGAGTAGTCGTGAGGTTGTCCTTGCTGCAGGGTCTGGAGGTTTCCCCCTGCTGGTGGTCTCTGAGGAAGCCTGGTGGAGGGTGAGGACTGTCACCCCCCAACCCTGCACAGTAGAGGGCGCATGGGAACACACGGTGAGGCCCTGTGCTTCTCCCAGCAAGGACAGTAGCAGTGGTGGCATAGCAGACAGCCAGAGCACCCAGCCTGTGTGGCAGCTGTAAGCATCGTCCCTCTCCAGGTGCCGGGGATATTTAAGTGGGGAGCTTGGACTTCTCTTGCCACCCGGTAGTTACAAGATGTCACCCCCTCTTCCCTTGCTGGAGCTATCCCAGAGGAACCGACTGAAATACAAGGTTTAAATGAGATCCAGAGTCTTAGAACACCCCAAATACCATGTTTCTGTCAAAACAAAGTACTTATACAAAGAACCAGGAAGATAGTAAAGGGAATGAAAAAAAGAGTCGACAGGTGCCACCATCAAGATGACACACGTTGTGGAAGTGTTGGACAACGATTTTAAAGCAGTTGGGATAAAAATTCTTTAACAAGTTATGGTGAACACATGCAAAGCAAGTGAAGAAAAAGGTTAGAAGGTGTGAGTGAAGGAACAGGAGACACAGGAGAATCCGGCTGGCATTAGAAGAGATGCACACAGTAAGAGAAATGAGCCTGGTGCGTGGGTGCAGCAGTAGATTGGAAGGGATGGAGGAAAGAATTGGGAACTGGAAACCAGGTAAATCCGCTCTCTGAGCAGCAGGCGGGAAATAGACCGTGAATGTGAGTGTGGCCTCAGGGAGCCGTGGGAGTATAACAACAGGAGCGAATGTTTGTGTCACTGGAATTCCGGAAGAAGAGGAGAAAGGGAACAACCAAAAAGTAGCTGAAACAGTGGCCAAGTAATTTTCAAAGTTGGCAGGAGATGTAAAGTTGTAGATTCGAGATGCAAACCCCAAACAAGATAAACCCAAAGAAATGCAGTCCATGACATATCATGATTAAACTGCTCTGGGAGAGCAGTTGGAATGATAGCTGATTTCTGATCTGAAACCATGGAGGCAAACAGTGGCAGACTATTTATCAAGTCCTGAAAGAAATGTGTTATGGATACTGAGTCCTATATCCAGAGAAGATACCTTTCAGAAGTGAAGTAGAATTCAAGAGACCCTCAGGTGAAGAGCTGAGATGATCTGTTGCCCACAGACCCCCTTAATGGAGTGCCTCATGGAAGTTCTCTAAGGAAAATGGTAAAAGAAGGGATGTGGGGACTTTAGGAAGACAGCCCAGGTCACCAGAAGTACTAGTAAACACAACAGACGGTCCTTACGCTCTATGGTTTCCTTAGTTATGTTTGATGATTGCACCAAAAACAGTAACACTAACAATGTTAGACATGTAGAGAAATTATTAAGACAACTATATGATCAATAGGAGATGGTAAAGGGAGGTGATGTTGCTGTGCTTCACCTGAACTGATAAATCAGATACAAATAGAATGATAAGGCATGTATGTATAATGTACTACCCAGAGTGACTCCTGGAAGTCATTCAAAAGAGGGACTCCAAAGCATAGGTAAATCAAAGTGGAATTCTAAAAACTGTCAAGTAGAACCTTGATATGGCAGAAAAAAGGAAGCAGAAATTAAAAACAGAGCAGAGAGAATGCCAAGAAACAGAAGATTCAACTCCTAACACATCAGCAATGAACTGTGAACAGTGTAAAGATAGATGGATAGAGAGGACTGAAACCAGAGACCCAGGTCTCTGCTATCTGTAAGAAACAGGTCAAATATAAGGCAAATTTCAAAGTAAAAGATAGAAAAAGATATGTGTGAAAATGTTAACCAGAAGAAAGAAAGAGTGGTTACACTGATGTCTCAGAAACCAGCTTTGTGAGCAAAAAAATTATTACCAGAGTGGAATATACCATGTTGGGGCTGGCGCTGTGGCACAGTGGGTGAAGCTGCTGTCTGCAGTGGCGGTATCCCATATGGGTGCCAGTTCAAGTCCTGGCTGCTCCATTTCTGACCCAACTCTCTTCTGTTGCCTGGGAAAGCATTAGAAGATGGCCAAATCCTTGGGCACCTGCACTGGCGTGGGAGACCTGGAAGAAGCTCCTGGCTTCGGATCATTGCAGCTCTGGCTGTTGCAGCCATCTGGGGAGTGAACCAGGGGATGGACGAACTTTGTCTCTCTTCCTCTTCTCTGCCTCTGCCTCTCTCTAACGCTGCCTTTCAAATAAATAAATAAATCTTTAAAAAAAGAGAGGCTATGCTGATATCTTAGCTTTCTGATAAAATTATTACTAGAGTGGAATGTACCATGTTATAAAAAGGGTGAATTAGCAGAAGACATAGTATCTTGAGTGTGTGTGCAGAAGCAACAAAGTTCCAAGATATGTGAATGAAACATCAGTAGAGTGTGCACTGTGTTTCCAGTGCCTATAGAATATTCAACAAGATGGATTGTCTCTTGGGATATAAAACGAACTTGAAAGAGTTAAAGAATTGAAATCATACATGCTATGTTCTCTGACCACATTGGATTCAAATGAGAAATGGTTACTAGAAAGGGGATGGCAGAATCTCCAATCATTTGAAAATTAAACACAGTTCAGAATATCTGCTGAATCAAAGAGAGAGTCTCCAGTGAGATCAGAGCTTACACTGAACTAAATGAAAATAGATCTTATCAAAATGTACGAGACACAGCTAAAGCTGCGTTGACAGCGAAGTTCGCAGCACTAAATAACGCCCACTGGAAAAAAGGGAACAAGCTCAATCCGAGATTATTTACTCAAGATACTAGAAGAAAAGATAAAAAACCCACGGCAAGCAGGAGGAAGGAAATAATAGAGTATAAATCAGTGAAATTGAAAACAGAAAACAAGGTTGGAAGATCCAGGAAACCAGGAGCCAGTTCTTTGAAAACATTGGTCTGACTGACGAATGTGGCAAGACTGAAACAGGAGATGATATAGTCAAGAGGATCACTGCTCCACCCAGTAAGACAAAAGAATTTCCAGTATAAAAAGCAGAAAGGAAGAGCTCCGACTGCGCTCGGAGATGATATGACTTTGGATTTTGGGAAAACTCGGAGAATCAACTGAAGATTACTACAAATAGTAAGAGGATGTGGTAACTCTCAAAATTAACATATAGAACAAGTAACTATAATACAGGTAACCACCAGATATCATGGAAGAAAATATGTATTTCTTGAAATTAGTGGCTAAATTATCAAGTAGTGATCATCAGTGCTTTATTATTATTATTATTATTTTGAGATTTATTTGAGAGGCTAGGCTGTCTCGGTGGGGGCTTGGCACCTGTTCCTGCTCTTCCTGCGCCAGGAAGACACCGCTGTTTCTAAGTGGTGCCTCGCTTCAAGACTGCCTAGAGCGAGTCACCGGCTGTGAAGGGTGGTCTGGGAAAGTTCGCACGGGAAGTGCTGCCCGCGGTCTTACCTGGTTTTGCATGTGAAACTCCGGCGGTTCCCCCTTACCTGTGAGTCAGAGAAACGGACAGCGTACTGGGCATAGTCCCCATTCGGTCCCTGGCTGCCTCCAGCTGGAAGGGTAGAACCTCCCACGCTGGGTTATTCAGGCCAGCGATGAGTAAGATGCCTTAGAGCAAGATGGCTTTTGTAAGCCCAGGAGGGTCACAGCACACGAGACAGAAGCTCAAAATGTGCTTGGGAAGTTCAGCACGAGGGAAAGACTCTTTGCTCAACGCTGGGTCATAGGAAAAAGGGTGAGGAAATACGGAAGGGTCACTGCGTCTGTTAATTTTACGCTGGGTTTTTTTTTTCCCCCTTTTAGTTGGCTTTTGAGACCATGAGTGTTATCTCTGTGGTCACTAACTGTGCTCTGATTGGAATGTCGCCACAAGTGAACGCCCTCTTCCCAGAGTCAAAGACGGACCTCATCTTGATTGTGGTGGCAGTGGAGGTGAGTGAAAGCTGACACCTGTTCAGGTGCCCCAGGCTTAGCAATGTGCAGAACTGCTAAGAGGGCAAAGCAGTTCAGGTAATGGAAGACGCGAGGATTCAGGCTGTGCCTGCCTGGTAAGTGCCCAGGACGCTGTGAGGAAACCAGAAAGTGGCTTTACCAAGCCGTCGAGCCCACCTGTCCTGCCTAAGTAGATGCAGCCTATTTAAAATATATTCTATGAATTTACCATGTATTCTTAGTCTGTTCTAAGGAAGTGTCACTTCTGTTTTTTTGGGCAAATAAATCCCAAGAAATGCCTTTGGCTAATGTAAGTCTGATTGACGACGGATATGAAGTTCAATGTGAAACAGTCTGAAACTCCAGCGTGTACTTGGAGGGTGACGCCCAGTTTCATACACCAAGTACCAGTAGGAAAGCTGGGAACTTAGCAAGTTTGCCTTTTGGTTATCCTGTGTGGCAACATGGAATCCTGTAGCATCTTGAAAATGAAGCAGTCCCCGAATGTAAATGAAAGAATCTGCGTGGATTTTTGTTGTTGTCGTTGCTGGTGACTGTCATTGTCATAGGAATATTGTGACCTTTCATTTTTAGATAAAGAATAGAATGTTTGCAGAAACTTACTAAGGCAAAATGTCATGGGATGGTACACTGGTGTCTCATACCCATACCGGAGGCGTTGGGCTCAGGGCCAACCGGCAGAAATGAAGTCATGACCTTGCACATTTCCAGTTTGGGCTGAAGCAGTGTATCACGCTTCGTTGCATTTGCACTTCTGTCCTGGTTGATCGCAATCTGTGGTCGTGTTCGATGCTGTGTGCAGGATATGGATCTTGGAGAATGATTTTGACAGCAGTGAGTAGGAGGAGAAAGACGGGTGGCCCTGCCTGATTAAAGTAGATCTGTTTTGAATTTTGTGAGTTGAAAAGGATTTTGAGGTGCTATGCGCAAGGCTGCCTTATTAGCTGAGGACGTGCGAGAAACAAGGCGGGAAGCAGCCAGCTGGCGGGGCTCAGTACGTTCCTTCTCAATTTAGGATAGGACCTTAAATTTGTAGATCTAGAAACTTGTTTTTACCAAAACATTCAGAGTTGGTAAAGCTTTTGGGACTGATTGAAAATGAGTAAGGCTCACAAGAAACTGACCAGCATGTCAGGTAGGCAGTTGGCAAGGAGATCCTTTTACAGTGACCATAACGTTGGTGTTAAAGGTGGAATTGGTTATTAGGCGATTTCCTGGTAAACTTAGAACAAGAGCAATGAGAGTTAAATCGATTGGAGAGACACAGAAGACTTGAAAAGCACTGCTCCGTACACTTAGAGCAGAGCTGTGCCATGAGTCGGATCTTGGTGTCCATCGGCCACTTCTGGGCGAGGTGGGAGGAGTTCGGTGCCACCTGCTTCTAGATTCTGTCTTGGCTTGTTCTAGTGCTGACCTCCTGTGAGTGCGACTGATGAGGCTGCTGCCCTCCCTTGTGTTAGGGGATACCTTGGGTGCTCAGGGCCTGGCTCTTGTTGAATTTGGGAGATACGCTGGCCTGTGGCTCTGCATATGGCTACCCGCTTGTGTTACTGGCTGATTTTGCCTTTCTGATACTTAGGGATTTACTTTGCGCAAAGTCTGGGGGTGTTCACTGTTGCCCTCTCAGTTCTGTTATCCCTCCGTTCATGTTTTTTATTGTTTGTGTCCACACGGAATTACAGCAGTTGTTTTATCCTCATTGTCTAAACTGGTTCCTTAGAGGAGAGAAATCTCCATGAAAAAAATCCTCATAAGGAAAAAAAAAAAAAAAACTTTGGTTTCAGTATAGACAATTGCAATTGTTGGTCTGTAAATATTTCATTTTCATGTGGACTTGTTATGTTGGAATAATCGCACTTCTCCCAAGTGGGCAAGCTAGCGTGAGATGCGTGTGTCATTAACCCAGTCTGCCGAGGGGCCATGTCTTGCGTCACCGAAGCACGCTGACAGCAGTGCACTGTGTGTGGCGCTCTTCGTCCTTTTATCCCAGTTGCATTCGGCAGCCTCGCATTATTCCGATGAAGTACCTGCGGCAGTAACTTCTAAAGAGAAAAGGTGTACGGGGCTCCCTGTTTGTTGCACTGTGAAGGTTAGCATTCAGTGGGGAGCAGCAGCTGGGGGCCCTGCTCTTCCTTCTGTAGGCTGCTCCCCGGGAAAGTGCTGACGTGGATGGCGGCAGGGCTGCAGTGTTTTGTGTGTGCTGTATGCCAGGAACAGAGTGATGCTGTATAAGAATGTGTATCTTGGTAGGCGCCCCTCTCCTGGTCCTCGGGTTAGAGCAGATTTTTCTTGGGACTCCCCTCCCCACTCCATGTCCAGTTGCATTTCTGGGTTGCCAGCCTCGGTGGCGCTCAGTTGGGATACACAAGGCAAAGCAGAATCGAGGGAACTCGCTGCCTGTTGATCTCGTGGCCCAGGTAGCCCGGCCAGTCTGCCTTCTGCCTCCTTGCTTAGTCGTCTTGGGCTTATTTCTCGTGTAGTGTCCAGAGTTTTGAGTTGCACTTTGGGGGAATGGTGAGACGTACTCCCGTTCCATCTTTCCCGAAGTGGGAGCTCTTGTTATCTTGTTTGTTAACGTTCCTATTCAGCTCAGGACCATTGCACACACACAGTCCTGCAGGTGCCGGCTCAGATGTCACCTAATTGCCTGGCCCACCTGATCCTTCCAGCTCAGCCAGGGCTCTCATGTTAGCCTCTCGTGAGACCTGCTTGCTTCTCCTTCAAGGCGTTTGTCCCACTCAGGAACCTTGCACTTGTGGGTTTATTTAACCTCTCTCTGTGCACTTTCAGCTTTGTGAGGGTAAGGCGGTGTCTGTGTCCTCATAGACAAGAATGCTCCTTAAAATAGTGAAGCCTAGTGTTTAGATGGACGTTGAATCAATGAATTCATGAGCATCTCAGTTTTGCTTATTTAAAGAGGAAAAGTGCACGTCTCCCCTTTTTCCTGATAGATGTTCATGTTTAGCTTAATGCTAAGATTGTATTTGTTGGCTTCCAGCATTTCTGAGTGCTGCTCATAGGGCGTGAAGTGGCGAGTGCTCATCCGTTACATTTCTTAACTAAATTGCACCCAATCAATACTGAGAGCTCTGTGTGTTCGGTGCTGAATCTGGTGCAAAGAAAAGACACATTTGTCTTTTAAGTTTTGTCCTCAAGAATTCTGCTTCGTAATGAGGTTGAGAAGATGTGCATATTTTATACATACACACACACGCACACGCCCACATATGTATCTGGTTAAGTGCATCTCCTCGAGCTGTAACTAGGCAGTATAAGCAGTATGCCAAGTAAGTGGTCGGCGGTAAGCTGGGGGAGACTCTGCTGGCTCTGTGTAGGTCTGTCGGGAAGGGTGAGGTGTGGCTTCATCCTGATCTCTAGAGCATTTGGAAGGTCCGTTTCTTGGCTGGCTTTCTCGCAGTGTCTGGCAGGAATGGAGTCACGTTGTGTCAACTTGTCTGGCTTCTTAGGCGCTCCTCTCCTTGTCCTTGGGCTAGAGAGCGCAAGCTTCGCATCTGAATGCTCACCCTGCTGTGCCAGGCAGAGGTGGCTGCCGGGCTGAAGGGTGGGAGAGAAAGGCACCACCAGGGGCTGATGTGGACTCGATCGCGACGTAGAAGAATGGCATGTGCAGCCCAGAGTGAATCCGCTGGCACACAACCAGCAAGGCTTTGCACGAACTTATTACCTCCTGGATTTATACCTCTGTTAAATAAGAAGTATTTGCCTTGGTTACCAAGACTAGGGCCTAGAAAGGGGGATTATTTTGGTGTGTGTGTTTTTCTTGACAAATGCAGGTAACTGGGATATTATCCATGTTTTCTAAGATGGAGATGGCCCAGAACAAATCAAAGGGTTGAGGAGGAGATTGTAACTGAATTGGAAATACGCTGTCAGTTGCATTTTCAAGATGTTTTGATACAGTACACGTTACATAAACTTTATTGTTAGTCACTTCTAAGTGCAGGGTTCAGTGGTATCGAGTACAGTCTGTGATTTTTAAGTGAGGGTTCGGTGGTATAGGGTACAGCTTGTGCAGGGTTCGGTGGTGTGGAGTACAGTCTGTGCAGGGTTCAGTGGTATGGAGTACAGTCTGTGCAGGGTTCGGTGGTATGGAGTACAGTCTGTGCAGGGTTCGGTGGTATGGAGTACAGTCTGTGCAGGGTTCGGTGGTATGGAGTACAGTCTGTGCAGGGTTTGGAGGTATGGAGTACGGCCTGTGCAGCTGTCAGGCCCATCCGCCTCCAGAACGTCTTTCTACTGTCAGCCTGAAACCCCGTGCCCTAAACACTGACTCCCCACCACCTCTTTCCCACTGGCCACTGTCAGTGTCTCCAAATTCAGCCCTTCTCCGTGCCCCATCTATGCAGAATCCTTACTCGGCCTCTTCATGCCTGGATTATTTTGTTGACCATAATACCCCAAGGCTCATCTGTTTTGGAGTATATGTCAGCGTTGCCTTCCTTTTTATAATTATTATTTGAAAAGCACACAGAGAGGCAGAGGAAGGAGGGAGGGAGAGACAGAGACAGAAATCTTCCGTCTACTAATTTACTCCCCAAATGCCTGCAACAGTTAGAACTAGGTCACGTGGAAGCCACAATCCAGGAACTCCATCGGGGAATCCCACGTGGGTGACAGAGACTCGAGTACTTGAGTCGTCATGTGCTGCCTCCCAGGGTGCGCATGAGCAGGGTGCTGGATTGGAAGTGCTCCAGTGTGAGACCCTGGTGTCCCAAGCAGCGGCTTCCCTCTCTCTGGCCGACACCTGCCCCTTTTCCCTTCCTGTTGTGACCGAGAGATAGTACATGCTATGTGTATACCACATTGTGTGTACCCATTCATCTGTCCGTGGACACTTGAATTGCTGAGGGGAAGAGTGCTGTTGTGACCCCAGGTGTAGGCCTATGTGTTCAAGTCTCTGCTTCTGCTGCTTTGGAGTGCACACCCAGAAGTGGAATTGCTGAATCGCGTGGTAATCA